GCTCCTTGGCATTCAGTTTATCCCTAAAAGATAAACTCAAGAAGAAATATTTGCTCAGGAATATTAAATTGGTATGTCATGCCAGAGAGGTCAGTGAAACTCCTTGTTATCAGTTTTATTGTCCTTTCTCTGCTTGGATAAAATATCAGTAGAGATAGCCTCCCTTGCTTTAGATATGCCTTGAACACTATAAAAAATGGCCAAGTTCTCATGTTAGGAACTTGGCATCTATTTACAGAGCTGCAAACATTTCTGTTTGGAATGGGAGTGCTCAGCATATGGCTGGGCATGGATTTATGGCTTAATGAATCCTCCACTGTGACCTGGCAGCTGACAAAGAACACAGTTCACTGCTGTGGGAAGGGGGAGGGGAGGGGAGGGGAGGGGAGGGGAGGATATGCTTCCATCCTCACTCTCCAAGTGGTGTAAGAAGTTTGGAAGTACAAGTGCTCTTTGTGGCGGTCTTCACAAGCATTTCTCCACAAAAAAGTCCAAAAATTCATGCAGCGGTGATGATTTGTATCAACAATCCAGTTCTAGCATTTTCTCTCCAGCAGAAGCAGGTCATTGGTAAGTTAATGGCTTCTAAGTGACCCTTCAAGACAAGCCATACCAGAAGACTTTTCGTTTCAACAGAGGACAATCTATGCCTGCTAGCACAATTGATTTCCAGCAACTCAGCTCAGAGGAAAGAGAGTATTCTGAAGTGAGTGGCAGATGACATCAACAGCCCTAATAGTAATAATATTTTAATAATAATAGCAGTAAGAATAGCAGCAGCAGTGTTGTCGGTGTAGCCTTAAGAGTGGCATCATATGGAAGTTTTCACAAAGGGTGGCTTATACCATTTGGAGATGAAAATATCTGCCATTCCTACCATTTTGGAGATGAAAATATCTGCCTGAAGATTTTTTCCTTCTGACTTCTGTGCATCTCATTAGAACAAATGCCCAAAGCAAATGCCTTTCAGACTACAACACCCAGTATACCTGTGCATTGTTCATACTGGCTGAGGCTGAGGGGAATCACTGGAAGGCACCAGGTTGGAGGGAAAAAATGCTCTACGGCATATTTCTTCCCCACAGATTGCAAATGATATAAGAGTAATTTCCTCCCCCAAGGGAACATTGGCAACTGCATTCTTATTGTGGCCCTACAATTCCCATCAGCTCAAATCACTGGCTCTGTTTGCCAGGGCTGCTGGGAGTTGTAGGCAAAAGATCCAGAGGATGACAAGGTGCACATTGTACCTTTGCAGATTTAAGGTGCTTGTCATCAGGCACTTACAATCTAGAATTCAACAAGGGGAGCTAATAAAAGGAGAAAAGGTCAATGGATTCTGAGGTAAACAAGAGGATATGTCAGGGTCCCTTCTAGTGCTATAACTCTTTGACTGAACATTTGGCAACCAAACAGGAGGATGTTAAAGTGGTCAAACAGGCTGGACAGGTAAGCTGCCTTATTTGTTAAGCGAATTCAGGCAACATATTGCCATGGGTGCAAGAAGTTACAATGCAGTCATAGGCTCTTTTGGAAGGGGAGTGCCATTTGGGTATCAGTGCTCACCTTCCTCTCTCTGTGTTGGCTGAGGATTATGCCCTCAAGCTGCCCTTGTAGAAGTCACAGATTTAAGGCAAACTGAGTTTGGGGGCTCGTGTCATCTAACAGCATTTTGGAGTACTGGCTAAAGGCAGGTGAAATATGTGTGCTGATGTGAAGTGTCGCGATGGATTTGACAGGCTTTTAACCTATGGAGCTATGTTTCTCAACCTGTTTATATTTTTAGAGGTAAGTATTACAAATGCCAGTAAGCCTCTAGAGACCTCCTTCCAATGAAAACCAGGTCTGAGATAAGCTATGCACTCCTATAATGTCTTGCCAATCAAAGAACTGGGGTACATACGATAGGAGGGCTAAGACCGTAGGGTTGGGGTCTTCAGTAGGCACCAAGGTAACCAAACCTCTCTCTTGGTACCTGTCAGGTTCCCTGCCTCTTCTGCTTCTTTTCCCCCTTAACAATTCTTTAAACGTGATAACAAATTAACTGGTATCGCTGACATACTGCAATGTGAAGGACTTCCTTCCAACCACAGTCTGATATTTATTCACTGAAGCTTGTTGCCAGGTTTACAGATTACAGGCCCAAACGGCAGTACCAGCAAGAGCATCTGTGTGGAAGAAGAGCGCTTACACCAAGCTGAGGACCTCCTCTTGGAGGTACACTTATAAGATCGCACTGTGGTTTAGTACTCATTGAAAACTGTTTTGTTTTATACATGTCTAATAAAATGCGTATTTGGAAATTTGATCTGTCAGATTTTTGGCTTTTGAAGCAACTTTATGATTTTAGAGATTTTAGAGCTACATTGGGTCAAATATTTGAATGATCCTGTGACTGGTAACAGCTACTTGGAGGGGATACATATGCAGGGTACTGGCAGTCTCCACCAGAGAAGTCTCAAGACCTCCAGAAAATCACAATTCCTTTTCTATGGAAGCAATGAAGCTTAAACAGATGTAAAAGCAATACTCGTATAACTGTGTAGTGCAATGTGTCCTTTTGCTTATCCAAATGTTTTGGAATGTTTGCCAGTCCACTGACTGAGATAACAAGCATGAATGCAAATATATTTTATCAGTTAGGCAATCTTCTTTGGGCAGCAGTCTTCTTTTGACTGAGAAAAGGCATGGAATGGGCTGAATTAATGGGAGACAGGTTGCCTGGTATAGAGGCAGGACTGGGCAGCTCAGCTTTCCTGCTGGGAAATGCCCTGGTGGCTGCAGCAGTGGAAAGGTGGGCCTTTTATACAGGTTTAAATTTACATGTAGGCATGTGAATCAAGACAAATGTCAGTTTCTGATGCAGAGCCAAAGAACATCTGATGTAGGCTCCCTCTGTCACTGAACAGCAGGGAAAAGCTCTTATCTTTAATCATTAGAGAGAACATTTTTTCCTGGAAGGTGAGGGATGGGTAGGAAAGCTCATGGATGGGGATCCCCCATTGTTGTTGTTGTTAGTTGTGAAGTCACGTCCGACTCATTGCAACCCTATGAACAGCATTCCTCCAGGCCCTCCTGTCCTCCACCATCACCCGGAGTCCACTTAAGCTCACACCAACGGCGTCAGTGACTCCATCTAGCCACCTCATTCTCTGCTGTCCCCTTCTTCTTTTGCCATCTATTGTTCCCAGCATTAGGATCTTCTCCAGGGAGTCCTTCCTTCTCATTAGGTGGCCAATGTATTTGAGTTTCAACTTCAGTATCTGACCTTCTGAAGAGCAGTCAGGGTTGATCTCCTCTAGGACTGACTGGTTTGATCGCCTTGTAGTCCAAAGGACTCGCAGGAGTCTAAGCTATATTTAATTCCTCATCACTGATGCAGATTTCCAGTTAATCTCCTGCCACCTTTCCCCTTGTTAGAGATTAAGTGGATTTTTAACTTTTCCCTCCGTGGCTATTTTCTCTATGGAAACCACCTCCTAAAGCTGCTCTTAGCCACAAAGGAAAAAGACAAGAACAACCTACATACCTCACTCCTCCTCTTTCTAGCTATCACAGCTTGTGTAAGATTTCCACTGGGCAAACTGCACAGAGGAAGAAGGGTTAACCTATCTTTAACCTGGCCCTGATTTGCACTTACTGTTAACCAAAGAGAAAGACACAGTTATCACTGTCAACAGATCTCCCATCTCATGCATCATTAGGTCCCCAGTCACTGGATTTGCTTGTAGTTGGGATTGAGCAAGAGATTGGTTGTGTGATAGGGTGCTGGAACAGCAGTATTTTGATATTTCTATTTTGCCAGTGTCGTGAGGTTGTAACTTACGTCCCCAATTACTTGCACGGACGCAGGCAATAAAAACTAAAGACCTTTATTCCAGACGACTACAAGATTTATGTTTACGGCAGATAGTGTAGGAGCTACTGCAGAGAGCTCTAAGCAACAGTTGCCCCCTCCTTTCTGACCTCTCTGAGATTTGTCACGTGGACCTCAATCTCCTCATACGTCCCTCTCCACAGGGGTTGGACAAACTTCTTTCTCTCCTTCTAATTGGTCTAAGTGTCGAAGTCTCCGCCTTAGTTGGGCACTTTGCATGACAACTGACTCCCCTTCCTGATTTCTGGGAACTCCCCCAAAAACTTTAGAATCAGGTGGCGGGGGGGGGGGGGCTGTTTGTGCCATGGGCACCAAGTATAAATCTCCCTGCTCTAAAGCCTGATCCTCGCTGGGGGCTTCTGGCCCTCTTTCGTGTGTTAACGCCTCCCCTGAGTCGTTAGGCATGACAACCAGTGAGATGTGAAACTAAAGGTGACAGTGCAGAATGTTTCATTTCAAGGCTCTGGACAGTATATCGTTCCACCTCTTCACTAATTTCTTATCTTTCAAAATTGGTCAGCATTACATAAGCACTGACTGTGCTCAGCCCTCACTGGGCTGGTAGTTTTGGGTAGTATGAGCTAGGGGATCTATTCCTTCTAAGTGTCTTTTCTTCCCAAACATATTTTTAACTCCTGCAGATCTCATGGTCCCCCCAATGCCTGCTGATACCTTCCTCTCATGTGCTGGTTCTGGCTACTCCAGCACTGGCACTTGGATAAGTGTTCGATCACAGTTCAATCTCCAAACATGTGATGGTTGTTCATAAACATAACTGGACTTAAAAACTCACAAAAAGGGTGCTATTTAAAAGTGAACAGACGACAGGGCTGATGTTGCAATGACAGATCTGGAGCTTTAAAATCACAATCCCGAGCCTTTTCCAATGGGTGACCTCAAGACACGCAGGACTGCAACTCCTGTAACTCCTGGCAGCATAGCCCTGGTGGCTGGGAGTTGAGGCCCAACACACCTGGAAGGCAGCAGGCTGGGAAAGGCTCATGCACGCGCAGAACTGAGACTCGAGGGTTTTCATGTGGCCGCACACTGCAATGCCAGTCTCTGCCAGTAAAAGAATGCCTGGGTGTAATTGGTCCAGCACACAGTAAGTTATACAAAAAGAGAAAAAGAAACACCTTTAATGGTTTGCAGAATATTTTTCAGCACAAAGGTCTTCATGTAAGTATATACAAAGAAATCTTTGGGAAAATGGCACAGCCTTGTGGAACTGAAGCTCCATGCACATAAAATAAAACAAGAACAGTAATGAAATGGCAGCTGCAGTTGTATTATCAGATTCTCAGCAAAGGTAAGGCTTGATGCCAGACCACCAGGGTTGAAAACTTTTTTCCCCTGGCCTTGCTCCTCTGTCTAGAAAGGCACAATAACACAAAGAAATGAAACCACTGAAGGTTTCCCCCTTTAGGGACAAGACAGGGAATTCACCTGTAGCCTTCATGAGTTCATAAGCTTCTGTGCTTTTAACAGATGTGGTCGGGAATGTCCCTCACCTCACAGTTGCCATGAAAATCTGCTTCAGTTTACCCTCTCTTGGTGAAGCAGCAATCAAATGCACAGAAGCCTCCTCCGGGCTAAGAGCACGTACATCTTGGTGTCTTTCTGATATGAGAAGATGGCATGGGCTAGTCTGTCAGCCAGGAAGCCCAGAACCAACTCTGGATTCACAAGGACTGTCCTCTTGCAGCTTCACAAGCAAGACCCAGCACAGATCCTATTCAAAGGGCAGCCCATCAGTACTTTGAGGGCTAAGCCACAGTGAGTGGTTTAACCCTGAAAAAACAGCGGTTAACCCTTAAAACAACCCTCATCAGTCCGGTTGGCATGACAGGATGAGCTGTAGCATTGCCTAGCCTAGCTGGGGTTCCCTACCCATGATGGTGCCTGGCACATGCTGCAACTGCTCAAGGTAAATTCACCTATGGTGGGTTGTTGTCTTGTGCAAACCAGGCCAGTGCATAGTGCTGACTGGTATGCACAGTTGCAAGGTAAAGCAACAACCTGGTACCCCTCAGATGTGTTGAATTACAGTGCTCATCTTCTCCAGTGTTGTAATCTATCATCATCTGAAGGACACCAGATTAGGGATGTCTGCCCTGAAGCAACACCCTCAGACTTGGAAGGGGAAGCAGATACTGTAGATCCATTTTCAGTCCTCTTGAAGTCTCCATTGGAAGTGCAGGGACTGACAGAAATCAACAGATAAAGCTTTTTTGAATCTATCACCGTGATGGGGAGAAAGGGGAAGGTGGCAGATTTCTTTATTTTTGCCTGTTTACATACATGGCAATCCTAATTAGTCGACTGTTGTAAAGGTGACCTATGATATGAACTGGTTGCCCAGAAGCAGCCTAGAAGGAAAGGGAATGTTAGGCAGGGAGCAAATGGTTGCTGACTGGGAAAGTAACACAGTGAAAGAAGGGAAGCTGGTTTAGTTTCCTAAGAATACATGTGCCAGGGCAAATTCAGCTGCATTCCCCCTGCTGCGCTCTGTCCTCTTACCCCACTCATAGTACAGAGCATTTTGCTCTCAGGAAAAAAGTTTGACTAGTGAGAGAAAGAAGCACATTTCTTTCCCCAAAGGTTTGTTTTGGAAAAATGCTTATTACACAAATAAATACAATATAGGTCAAACTACTGCTAAATTCATTAGGAGCTGTGAAATGTCAATGAAAGGCTATCAGGGTTCCTCTGAAAGAATGAGGAAATACTCCTCATCTTACAACTTGCAAAAGGCACTTAGACCATCAGATCAAGAGGGAAGTCTGGAAGGACATTCTTTGCATTGTCAGCAATCTTCATGCAGCTTAAATTGCTCCATCTCCCTATAAAAAAAGAGGGAAAAAAGAAATTTTTTATAAGTAGTAAAAATACCTTAGTAATAATCTAAACATTGTGCTGTTTTGTTACTATTGATCTGATAATTCAGGAGGAAGCTATTGTATACACTTTAATATGGGTTCCTCTTTAAAGCCATCTCAGCCAGCCTCCCTCTGTGCTCCTACACAGATGCTCCAAAGGTGTGATCCTATGGCCTCCCAAAATTGTCTGGGAAGCCATAGGATTCTTCAGAAGGCCTGCCCCTCATAGCCAGCGTGGAAACAACAATGGCAGGTGCCAACCCCTGAGGTTGCAACTGGGCCTTGGAGGTGGAAAAAATGAGTGTGCCAGGGAGAGTGAGGGAAGAAAGCTTAAGCTGTGGTCTTATGCTAATTTCAGCTGATGTCTCAGCCATCTTCCCCCTCACCTTAGCATTGAACCTGGTCAATTGAAAGAGCGGTGCAGAGAAAATACCTGGTGTGGGGTTCAATGAGGGAGATTGCCACTGGTATACCTCATTCTAGGCAAGGATGCATGTAAGCCTTCAAGGTCAGAAACATGCTTTGGATTCCCAGACACAAGGGTGGAGACAAAACCCCAGCCCTGGAGGTGGGGATCTTCACTCCTGTTATTCCCACATCTATCAGCTGGCACAGAAAGAACCACACTGGTTACTTTTCCAAGGTCAGAAAAGTGCCTTTAGAGAGCAAATACAGGGGATGCTTTGGAGGCTGGGAAGGGAAGAAGAGCAGAGCCACCAGCATGTGACATTGCAAGGCAGTGCTGCAGCCCCCTTCCCTTTCCCTCCAAAGCACTTGAACTGAAGTGCAGAATGGAAAGAGCAGGAAGACGGAGATTGTCTCAGTGTTCCTCCCACTCTGCACAGGATGCCCATAATCCTCTGAGTTTGGGGTCTTATGAACATGGAGGGGGCAACTGGTGGGACTGCATACTAAAGCACATGCCTTGCATTAAGAAGAACCTCGGTTCCATCCCTGGCAGCTTCAGACAAGGCTGAAATCCTGTTGAGCTGCTGCCAGTTGTATCAACAGTGCTGGGCTAGAAGTACCAGTGGCCTGACTAAGTTTATTTTCATAAAAGGGTGGGACCAACACTTGTGTAAATTCTTTCCCACACAAGCAGTCTTACTTTGCAGCAGCCGCAACATTTACAGTCCCCGCAGATTGTGCCAAGCAGTCCATTGACAGCCTGAATGGCACAGAGCACCATCTGAGCTCCACTCATGACCAGCAGCAGAGAGAAGAGAGTTAAATTCCAAGGCACAATGGATTCTGGTGACTGGCATTTACTCCACAGTTCCTTGTCTGTTAGGTAGTCCCTGTGCAAAAAAGGAAAATATATAAACCTTCCCTGTCTAAATGAAACCAGTTGCCCTCATTCTGGGTGTTTCCAGGCAGAGGGGTCCCAGAAGTAATAACTGGGAGGCATTGCATGCAGCTATTTCATCCTCTGTGCTAAGAAGAAAGATGAAAGGAACAGGGAGGAAAGAAAGAATTATTTCTGGATTTCTGTAAATGTCCATGAATAAGGCCAGGCCATTGATCAATAAATTCCTTGCCTGGAAGTACCCCTTGTCTCTCTCTGTGTTGTTTACCTTGCTGTTATACATTAATGTGTGCATGACGATGAATTTTACCTTAAGACTTTTTATTCTTCTGTTCAACCAAAAAGCCCCCAAAGTAGACTAGGCCATAGGAAATTCCTTAATTAATTAATTAAATTTATATGTCACAAAATAGTTCAGCAGGACTCTGACAGGCTAGACTGTTTTTTGTCTTTCTTGCCTAGTACCACCTACTCTGACTGGCAGTGGCTGTCCGGGGTATCAATCAGAGGTCTTTCCCATCACCTCCCATTCAAACCCTAGAACGAAAAGGCAGCAGCAGCCGTAATCAGCCAGGGAAGTGTGACCAGCTGTGGTGGCGGCGGCGGCGGCATCTGCAGGCAAGGGATGATGCATCACATCCTCAGCTGCCCTCTTGATCCGCTGCCTGACCTATGTAGCCCACCATAGCTCATGGAAAGGCCCTTCGTCGGAGAAGCTATAGTACATCTCTGAAACTGCTTGAGATATGCTAACAGCTCAATAGTCCACAATTTGTTGTAAGTACCTTAACGATCTTATTTATAGCAATATCATCAGTCCCCCCACACAAATTTTGCTGCATTGTAACCAAATTTCAAAATATCTTACCCATCCTGAAATGGATATTGCCATATGGTTTTGTTTGTGTTTTCCATACTGTAACATTTCGGGCCGTTGTGCAGAGCCACAGATGACACAATAAAGCTGTACCCGGCACCCACAAAACCCACTGCGGCAAATATTATCGAAGAAAACATCTGCCAAAAAGAAAAGAACAAGTGAGGTAAAAGCATCTGGTGGACATGTTTTATTTCTTTATTTAAAATGTTTGTATCCTACCATTTACATTGTCTCAGCATACCTATGGCTTACAACTTTCTATGGCTCACAAATTCCATATGAAAGGGTCTGTAGGAATAGATCTACTCATATGTTAGTGACAGGTCTTCTTCAGAGACCCTTCTCTTTTAAAATTCTGCCTTGAGACATTTAGTGAAAGATGGGATAGAAATGTTTTATTAAAATTAAATTAAATTAAATTAAATACTTGCATTGTATTTTATATTTTGAACTTGTGTGGCATTTTAGGGGTTTTTTTTGGTGGGAGGCCAGAGAACATTGTTATTGGGCAGATTAAACCAAATAAAGTAATTAAGAGGTCACCATAACCAAATCAACTGAATTTTCCCAACCCTACATATTCTGTGCTGCTGGAAGTGAAGTCTTCCTATCTATAGCTCTAAACTAGTTCACAGAGCCACTCTGACAGCAAGGTGATCGTGTTGCTGCTGCTATTGTTTAACAGTTGGAACTCAGAAATCCTTGCTGATCTATAGCAAATCACCCAGAGATCTACTGGGAAATCTAATCTGCCTTAAAGGGTTCTTATCTGAATTTTCAAGGGATTTTTTTCGGTAAAAAAATGAAATTTAAAATGTGGCTCATTTACTTGTAGAGATGTAAGGCACTGTGATTTAGCAAGTTAACTCAAGGCCTGCTTTCCAGTGATTTTGTTAATGAGGCAAAGGCACAAAAATGACCCTTAAGATATTGATCCCAATTCTTGTGAGGAAAGGCCGTGTTGCGTGAAGGTTTTTTTTAGCTAGGAAAAAGGCAACTGGAGTGTGGAAACAAGAAATTCATCGTCGACTTGCAATCCAGCCATTTTTTTCCTACCATTTTGTTTGTCTTTTTTTTTAACCAAAACAAACAAACAAAGTCAAACAAAAGATGGGGTCTTTTGATTGCTAGCAGCAGCAACTGCACCTCAGGTTTGTATGGAGAGGAGTGGACTACCTCTTTCTGCCTTAAAGAATATTTGGAAGTTAAGCTTGTATGCTTACCGCAAACCTCTTTCCACAGCTTTCATTACCACAACATCCACAGCAATCGTTATTCTTAAGCCCCAAAAAGACCAAGGCAGGAAAAAACATCTGGCAACAGAAAATGCATTTTGAGGTTTGATAGTTCTCAGGTTAGTATGTTTAATCTGAAGACTGATATATCATCTTTTCTAGACCGCGACTATTGCAGCTGGCAGATATATTCTACAGAGGGCAGCGGCTTTGCTGCAATTGAATGATGTCATCCTAAACACATTAAGCTGGGCAACTTATGCTAAATGTCGTGGGGCCCTCAACCAGGATTTAAAGGTTAGCATTTGACTGAACTTGTCCCAGCATACGAAACAAGTAAAGTTGATCAGTCTCTTTCACAGAAGTGACTTTATACCACACCTCATCTGCATCAGTGACTGCCTTAAATAGAATGATACTGAATTAGGAGGATATTGGTCTGATCCAGCAAAGCAAGACTTAGCTTCTTATCCATCAAAGACCAGACAGTAGTAGAGATGTTGTTTTAGGCAAGTGGTCTAATTCATTTTTCAATGATAGTATATTTCATTTTTCAGGGTATGTACTGAATAAATTGCTAATCCCAACTTCAAACACAGACTGTATCATATCTATAGCCAAATTTCCTGTAATTTATGAGCAATACTAAGAATGGCACTTGACCTACTCACCAGTACACCAGAACCCAAGATGCCTCCAAAGTACCAGACTTCATCTGAAATATGGTCCTTCTCTTGAATAGTTCCTCCAGGGAAAAACAACAGAATATTGGCAATGGTACATAGTATGGCCAGAGGAATGAGAACAACTCCAAGGCACTTTGCACACCCTCCACAACACATGACTCCAAAACAACACTGCAAACTCCGCTAAGGAAGAATGTAAACTTTTCCTTAGATCCTCTTGTAGTTGAGACAAGAGCTTCTTGTTATATTTTACCACAATCCACTCGTTTTTGGATTGTACCTTGGATGGTTTCCTTCACAGTCTGCCAGTAAAGCCAGTGATCTGATTATTTATAAGCCTGTATTGTTGTGATCTCATTCTTCTGCATCTCTGCACCTCCTCTCCACTCCTCGCCAATTAGATTATGTCCTCTGAATTTACCATGACAACTGCCTATCTCTGTTAATATTCTACCACAGTGGAGAAGACAGCTTGGGGCTAGGTTACTGGGAAATACCTTTTTCACTGATGGAGGATTCATTTGGGAAAATATGGCTTGCTGTAATGCTAAATAGAAGGAAGAGAAAAAAGTTTCAGATTCTAAGTCACAGTGAAAATGAAAAGAAATTGTTAGTGTAGCATTACATTGCCCAACTCCAGTAATTTCAGAGAGAGTCCCCAACACAGTGCGTGAAAGAACACATTGATAATTGATACTATTTTGAGAGTGAGAATAAGGTAATAGCTGTAAATCAAACAATGATTTACTTTCAGATGAGTCATGCAAATTTTGTAAGCAGGGCGAGGTCCTGCTCATTATTTTCTATTCCAGATGTTTTTTTTTCCTAGTGGAATTCACAAAAATTGAGTTCTGGCACTAACCTTCTATTAATTACTCCCCAGAACTGAATTCCAGCACCCCTTTCTGATTTTTGAGTAAGATATGCTTATTACTTGGAAGGAAAAATACAAAACTCAGGCACATCAAGAGAAAGCAAGACTCATGGGAGAAGACAATGCAATAGGAAACTGAAGGCAGAAAAAGAGGAAGACCAACTATGAGATGGATTTGTTCCATAAGGAAAGCCACTGTCTTGAGTTTACAAAGCTAAGCATGGCTGGCAATGTCAAGGTCCAGAGCTGGAACATGGGCAGCAGGAGGCAAGCCAGAGGCACTGGGACCAGGGCAATAGAGCGTGAGGCAAGACAGAGTTCAAAATCCCAAAGCAAGGTTTAATGGCTAGTCACATTTCAGAAAGCATCACTAGACAAAATGGTCGTGGCAATCATTTTCAACTAAAGATCTATTTCAAGGGGATCCCTTTCTGCTGCTGTCTTCTCATTCTTCCCCTTCCTTTAGTCCTACACAGTGGGCAGCCAGGGGGTGGTTAGGTTGCACTTGCTAAAAGCCACAACTGTCCATTTGAAATGAGTCTGAGGGCCACATACACCTTAGGGCTACAGGTGGTCCACCCCTGTTCTACTCTTAAGGGTGACTAAAGTCTCAGTCCAAACTATTCTTTACAGTATTGCTCACTTTTATCTCTTGCACAGAGTGGTGAATTCCTCTGGCTGAATTAAAAGAGCAATACAGGAAACTAAACCCCTCTTACACAATATTTCACAGTGATTCAATACAAATATTAAATGTATAAAGTTCAAGGTGGGGAACACCCACTGTTTTATCTATGGGGCATATATATCCTGATAAAGATATGCACATAAGCCAAAATTGCCTCTTCATGATGCAGAGATAGAGACCACACGGCAGTGAAATCCAAAGAACACTGTTCTTTTCATAATATTTAAATTCATATTGACTGAACAAGGCAATCTTATTGTCATTGTCTGTGAATATTTGTTGTCATTATTTTAGCACTGTTGGCACAATGTATCTTTGAAATCAACTCCGATTATTTTTGCAAGGAGTGCCCCAGCAGAGTGCAGGTCTTTTCGCCTTTCTCTGTACTCTTTGGCTTCCCAAGAGCAGAAGCATTTTTAAGGTCATTGGCCTCAGTGCAGCAAAGCCCGCGGAGACATTTCCTAAGCTTGGAAAGTAAATGTTGACAGAGATTTGTGTGTGTCCATAGAAAGTTCAATACAAACAGCATGATTTTCAAATCAAGGATTCATACATAATGCCCCTCCCCTCCCGCCATGGTGTATTTTATCTCCCATGTATGTTACTTGCTGCTGAAATATTCTCCCACCAAACACCAAGGTTTGGTTGTTATTTCAGACATGTTTGCTTCTCCTAAAGCTTAGTTACTGGCAGTAATATTTTTGTTACTATTTTGACCTCACCCTTTTTGCATTTAGTCTCACAATTTTGCCTTGCCCGCCACTGCAAAGCAGCTAAAACAGGTTCTGAACTCCTGCCTTCGCGGTGGAAGCATGGGAGCATCCAGAGTTGGAAAGCAACTACGCCCATGTTTATTGGTAATACTATTCTTCCTTGTCCCTTTGGCTAATTCTTTTTTCAGCCTCCAAAGCTGCCTGGCTACCAAAAGAGCATTCCCTTTTTCACAATTAAAAAGCAAGATGAACAAATGGTGAGAGGGTTTCAGATGGAAGACAAGGTTGTCAGCACTCCTCTGTTTAACCCAGTATGATTACACAATAACAGCCTCGTTTTGAAGCAGCTCTCCTCTTTGAGGTTAGCCTTCCATTTACCAGGAGACATTCATGCAACCTTTTCTATGGGCAGTGTAGGGTGCAAAGAAATGTGCAATGCATACATGCATTTATTCATTTTCTCTCTCACACACACAGAGTGGTATGAATTCTATATACCACTGGATTTCAAGAATATCTCTGAAAGGAAGATGCAAGATGATCTCTTTCAAAGGATATAGTGATCCATGATTTTTTATATCCAGCTCATAAGCCCAGGGCTCTTGTGTGTTTGAAGTGTCTATGTATTTGGCTTGAATTTTGCTAAGCTTACTGGCTCAGTGGATACACTACTGAACCAGTACAACATTACAGAGGATTAGACACTATTCATCAACAACCCACTACAACTTGTATAGCTGTGTTTGCAGCAAAACCTAGCTAGTGTGGTTGAACCATCAGAACAGCCTAAAATAATTCAAAACTGATTATTTCCTACTACAAGCTAATTGAGCCAAACAAGCAACTATACAGTACTTCAAAACTCCCTTCTCACTGAAAGCAAGCTTTAATAAAAAGGTTCAAACATTGCCTTTTTCTTCTGAAAGTGATGTTTTTGCATGGACATTGAGTTTTTAAAGAATGGGCTATGGGGGTGATTTATATTTTGTATAAGCTATTGTAGCTTTTTATATTTATTTTAAATATGGCTTTTAAATTAAGTATGGTAATTTTTATGATGCTTTATTGTTGCCTGTACTTCATATTGTATTTTATGTATTGTTGTAAATGGCCCAGACAGCTTCACTAATTGGGTGGTATAGAAACAACAACAACAACAACAACTGTTATTATTTTAAAAGAAAAGATGCTTACAAAACAAAAAGGAAGAGCAGCAATAACATTAAGCCTGCAACCATGCTCTCCAATGTCTTAGGCTTTAAGATAATTCAATATACACCATAATGCATGACCAGTTTCAAGAAATTGTGTTGGTATCCATTAGTTTTCAAATACTTGTGATGTCCCATCATATACATTTCTACTAGGTAGCTGTAGAGGCCTGCAAATTTTGGGATTGGAGATCATTGTGGCACTCTTAGCATATGACTTAAAATATCTCTGCAGTTATAAAATTCCACACCTTTTTAACTGTCACAGAACAAGATTAATTTGGAAGAAAGGGGTATAGCAGGATGATTGATCATTTTGATTTGCTCCAATTCCTTTTGCCAATATCTTGAACGTAGCTACAAGATCATCATATATGTTTTCAAAATCACATCTAATTTCTAAGCACATTTCTAATCTCATCTTTCTTAACAAGGGTTATTTCCCTATTTATGTAAGTGTTGAATCTACCTTTGTCTGCTCAAAATCTTATATGTAACTGAAGGAAGCATTTCAAGAAATGGTCACATTTTTGCCATCTTATTAGTCTATTCTTCCTCAGCCAATTTCATGAATATAAGGGTAAAATCCTAGGCATGTTTAGCCAGAAAAAGTTTTACAATTCTTAGTATTCTCCATCCTAGCCGGGGAACGTCTGCAGTTGCAGCATTCCCCTGCCCCCCATCCAAACAGGTATAACACTGCATCCTAAGAAGAATCCTGCTGGATTGGACCAAAGATTTATCTAGCCCAGCATATTTTTCGCATGGTGACCAGCTAGATGACCAATAGGAAGTGTATAAACAGGACATGAGGGCAATAACCTCCTCCCATTGTTTTAACTTAGTGACTGCATCCTGGTGGTAGTACATTGCCATCATGACTTGCAGCTGCAAGCTGAGATTCCTCCTTTTTGCTGTCAAAAGCCACACACTGTTTACTTTGCAAAATATTCTTTATTGTTCCCAAGGACAAATTACCCAGAACAAATCTCTGTGCAGGGACAGAACACTCTGCTGAACTCAGTCTAGTGTTTACCTCCAGAAACTCCCCTTATGAACATGTCTGGGTGCCATTTCCTCCTGGAGGGGCTTTCTGAAAGCAAGCATGCCTCCTCCCCATGCTCCAATCTTGAGTCTCTGATGCCTTTGCCTTTATGGGAATGCCTGGTCTCAATCTGAGAAACCATCACTCCTAGCCTCCCCTCCCACCAGCTGTACCTCTTGATTCCCAGGACCTGCCTGCACTGTTGAATAATCTGGCCTTGAGATAAGCATGTCCACTTCCTCCATCTCAGATGGACTGGACTCAAGCCTTGTTCTGCCAGGTTTTTTTTTTTTTTTTGCTGATTCATACTTGATCTTAAGTTTTTTAGGGGGCAATTCAATAGGTCTATCCTAGATACATGCAAACCTTTGAACTCTCAGTCTTACATGCATGCAGTTGCCTGCATAAGGTGTGGTAGTGATCCGGTGCATTTTATCTAGATGGCCAAAAGCGGGCATCAAGATAAAATACTGGAGAGGGGGAGGAAAGAAATCTGGATGCTGATAGGAAATGTGTAGGTAGACAGCCCCAGGTCCCTCCTTTTCTCACCCTGTTACTTCTCTCTCTCTCTCCAAGGCAAGAGGCAGCCAGTCCAGGTTCTTTCTGTACCAGCCACAAGAAGGGTGGGGCAGGGCCTTGGCCTTCAGAGTCCCAGCAGTGATGTTGTCAGGCCTCAGTGCTGAGATTCCAAAGAATCCTATGGCCTACCCTAGATGATGTCAGAGCCAGAGGATTGCAGCCTTCATTATTGTGGTTTTTATTGCTGAATGTCTTGAGTAGTGTTGATAAAATACAGGCAAGAGGAAAATGTCTTTAATAATTTAAAGCCTTAGATACAAATAATTAACTTGTATTATTTATCTGTTATCCTGATTTCCCTTTATTCATGATATAGATCAGTTTTCTGCATCATAGGGCATAAGGTAGGAATCTTTCTGGGTTTTTGATCTAGTAAAATGATGTGTCCTATCTTATCACCCTTATGAAGACATCTGAAAAGAATGTAACAGCAGGACAGAGACCAAGTGGTCACCCAAGTGTAAAATGCTTCCAGAGCCTCTCTCTGTTCAACTTTTCCATACCATATGTTATAAAAAAAGAAGCCTATTTCATGATTTTAGTTCATGAATTGCATGCATGATATATCCTATAAGATGCTACATGTGCACATATGGATCTACATTCATTCACATGCACTGTTGGTTTAATAGATAGCAATAACGTACATTTTTCCTAAAATGAAAAAGCACACACACCTAACTTTAGGAAACAGAAAGCTGCCTTATATGGAACCGGACAATATGTCCATCTAGACTAGTATGGCCCGCACTAACTTTGCCACACTGGGTGACCTACAGATATTTGCGTGACAACTCCTACCATTCCTAACCATTAGCCATGCTGGCGGAGGCTGTCCAAAACAGCTGGAGGGCACCAGGATGGGGAAGGCAGATGTACAATGACTGGTGGCATTCTCGGCATTTCAGACACAGCCCTCCCAGAAATGCGGGGAATTGATGCCAGGACCTTCTACATGCCAAGCAAGGTACTCTGTCACTGACAGTTGTGCCCCTTCTCTTATACCTTAACACAGTTTGAGCTACATTATTCAGCCTTCCAAGTGCAGATGAACTGTACTAGTTTCATGCTGGAGGGCACCATAGCTCAATGGTAGGAAGTACACGATTTGCACGCATCAGGGGAGGTGTGTGTCCCAGACTGGCATCTGCAGTTCGGTCTGGGACAGGCTGCTGTCTAAAACCCTGCCCACCAGTTAACGTACCCCAGCGTCTCCCTAGCTTGGTGCCTGCCAATTGTGATTTCACTTCCTATCAGGCCCAGCCAGTGGCAGCAAATGCAGCATGTTGTTCAAAACATCTGGAGGGCACCAGTTTGGGTAAAGCTCGATATACCATTGATCTCCCACAGTGTAAGTCCATTTGTTCTATTCCGTGAATGGCTTGAGTAACTACTTAATGAGCAGCACTTCCCATTCCCAGGCAGACATTTGCCCATGGCCTTCTTGTTGCATATACTGATAGTTACCTCTGAAATGTATACCTTTCTTGTGACATAACCCAAGGCCCCTAGGCATAGGACCTATAGCGCCTAGAGCCACAGGATTTTTCAGAAAAAGTAATTCGGAACAACTCTGGCAGCAGAGCCAGGAATCCTTCTGCCACACTGTGCTTAACTACTTCTGTGGGTTTAGAAAATGACCTTGCAAAGGGGGTTTGGGCAGGGAGGGAAGACCAGCACCCTCAAGCTAGGAAATTTCCTAGCACCACCTCAGCCTCCTTCCCACTTGCTCAAAGTTTGCACGCGGCAGCCAAAATTGTCTGATGGCTTTGCAGGCTGGGAAGAGCACTGAGTGGGAGAAGCATAGACGGTCCCGTAGGACTGTGCTCTTTATCAGACACAGGGGCGCAGGCACAGACAAGTCCCTTAAATGCAGGGTGGGCAATATGTGGGCTCTCCAGACTTTCACCTGCAATTCCCATCAGCTCCAGCCCGCATAGCCAAAGGTGAGGCATAACAGCTTCTGGAAGTCCCCACGTTCCCCATCTCAGCCCTTGCGACCAACAACGAGTAAGTAAGTTTCTGGCATGAACTCGCAGGGCTTCTGTCACCAGGCGCATAAAGTGCCTCCTCCCTTCTGAGTACGTCAGCACTCTGGGCATCTGCCGGTACCACGAAAGCCTCGATACCGAGTCGAGCTCTCCGGAGTCACGCGAGAAGAGCACGGCACTCGCGTCACTTCGGGCTTCCCCGAGGGAGCCGCCGCTTTCTCCGAAGCGCCTGCCGCGGTGCCGAAGGTAGGAGGGGCGCCCCCCGGGCTGAAGGCGCGCGTGCGCGGTGCGCGCGTCTGCGGCGCCCCGGGGGACGGGGATGCGCCTCTCACGTCCCCTCTCGCTCGGTTTTGCCTTTCTCGTGCGGGAGCCTCGTTCCCTTCGAAGTGGCTGGCGCGTTACGTGCCAACGCAGCTCTTATAGTTGTACGTACAGGAAACCTCAGGGTCGACCTCTGGGAAGTTAGAAGGGACTCGCGGAGGAGACTTCGGCCAGGTTGCGCCGTGCCTGGAGCGCCGTTTGCTGCCGCTGCTGTATCCCTCGCACCTAAAGAGAGATGCTTCTCTTTGAATTGCAGGTAAAGCAGCAGCAGCAGCAGCTCCTCCACGACCCTACCCCGAGGGCTACCCTGGATGTTAAGCAATAGATGTTTGAAATTTGAGTTTATTTGAAACTGGACAGGATGATGCTCAAACAACGCTGGAAGCGACTGAGGTTTTGGCCTCGGTGGCAAGCGAAGCCTGAGGATGTTGCTCTCAGACGCACACAAGCAAAGCCGTGGTTCCTTCTCCGAGGCAGCGCAGCCAGCTCTTTTTATAAAAGGCAGGTTTTTGGTTTCAGCCATTAATACGTTCCCAGTCCAGACAAGGAAGATATCTTTCTTGCGGGCGGGGTGAGAGCCCCCTGGACAAATAGTTTACCCCTCCCTTCCCACCTCCAGAAAACTACACTCCCCTTTTAGCATTGGTTAAATTACGGGTGTTTGATTTTAAGACTGATCTAAAAGAGCCCCGATTCATTTACCAAACCAGAGCAGATACCACAACATGATACAAATATATTTAAGCAATGTTGGCTGCAACTGATTCAAAACAATAGAAATCACTTATATTCAAAATCTATCAGTGGAAGATTTATGTGGTTTAGTTGGCATCTCATGATTTTGGGATTTCATTTGGCTTTCTGTATTCAGGTTCCACTTTCAATGTGTGCATGTTTTTTGTGTGTGTGCAGGTTGCATACTGCTGTTCTCAAAATGACATCACAGCTTAAATTCTGCTCTCGGAGATCTCCAGTGGTTTGCACCAATGGTTGCGTTGCATCAAGCCAGCCTCTTGCAACAAACATTGGCCTTGGTAATTGGTTTCATTGTTCCTGTAATAGGGGCTAGAACCCAGAGGTGGGTTGATTCCAGACTTTGGGTAGTGCCCTATTGTATCTGTGTGTTTGTGGGACCCATTGTTCATAGGGATTTGACATTTCCAAAATTACCCAAAACAGGACAGGCCAGCAGAACTCATAGAAGTCACCTCTGCTGATCTGCCCCATTCTGTAAATTAACATCTCTGTTTATTTCTGGGGTTATTGTTAGAAGGGGCAAAGTCCTGTTGTGAGTTCTACAAGCATAGCTGAGGTGGGGCAGGGCTGTTGGATTATTGTCCTATCTTAGTAATGTTCTCTTTCTGTGTGGCTAATATGTAGCACAATCCTATATTGATGATGTGCTGGATGAGGGGCCATAGGATTTGATAGAATCCGCATGGCACCAATGGAACACAAGATACAGTTACACTGTTACAAATGTGCAGGCTAAGCACAGCTGGAAGGGCCGTTCCTCCTGTAAAGATGGGTTAGTGGAATGGCCGAAACAGGGTGGAGTGTGTGTGCAGAAGGTGGGCAATCTGAGAGAGAGCGCTTCATGCCATAACCTATACGCTATCAATCACCATTCATTCCCCATTTGCACACCAAACCAGTTGGAAAAAAATGCCTTTTACCAACTTCAGGGGTGGTGGGCAAAAAAAAAAAAAAAAAAAGGCCACTGAAGCCACATCACTACAATAGTTATATGATGTAACACAACTTTATTTTATTTTATTTTATTTATTTAGCGGACTTATATGCCGCCCCATTCGCCTAAGCCTTGGGGTGGCTTACAAATAAATAAATATCATTAATGCAATAAAATGCAGTTGTAGACATCCTGACCAAAGTTGTTAAAATCAATAAATAAAATCAACAATTAAAATGCCATTTAAATAAAAAGGTATTGGCCTGGCGCCGAAAAGCAATTAACGACGGCGCCAGGCGGACATCTCTGGGGAGCGCATTCCAGAGGTTGGGCGCCACTGCAGAGAAAGCCCTCCTCCGGGTAATCACCCTCCTAATGTTCTTCACGGAGGGCTCCCGGAGAAGGGCCTCTGCCGCCGATCTCAAGGGGCGGGAGGGCACATATGGACGTAAGCGCTCCTTTAGATAACCAGGACCCAAGCCGTTAAGGGCTTTATAGGTCATAACCAACACCTTGAATTGGGCCTAGACTTCAATTGGGAGCCAGTGGAGCTGACGGAGAACTGGAGCTATGTGAGCACAATGCCCAGTCCCCGTCAGCAACCTGGCAGCTCTGTTTTGCACCAATTGAAGTATCCGGACCATCTTCAAGGGCAGCCCCACATAGAGCGCGTTACAGAAGTCTAGTTGGGAAGTGACCAACACGTGTGTCACTGTCGCCAGGCAGTCGTTCTCCAGGTAGGGATGCATCTGGTGAATCAGCTGAAGCTGAAAGAAAGCGCTCCTCACCACCACTGCTACTTGAGCTTCCAGCGAAAGCTCTGGATCGAGGAGCGCTCCCAAGCTGCGGACCTTGTTCTTCAGAGGGAGTGCAACCCCATTCAGGACAAGGTCAAGGTCCCCTTCCCCGAAGCCCGAACCACCTACCAACAGGACCTCCGTCTTGTCTGGATTGAGCTTCAGTTTATTGGCCCTCATCCAGCCCGTTACCTTGGCCAGGCACCGGTTCAGTACAGCCACTGCCTCACCTGGATTGGTGGAAAATGAGAGGTAGAGCTGGGTATCATCAGCGCGATATATTATAAACATGTGTATAATCTAAGTCAAGCTCAATCATAGCACTGCACTACCAGTACATACACCAGCTTTTATTTTGTTGATGTATTCTTAATTGTGTTTTAATGCAAATTTTATTTGTGATTGCAAGTTAGGATATTTTACCCCAACATATAGCACTCTATAATTGCTTGCACTGAACCTCATTTACCATTTTAATTGCATTTCTTTCAGTTTGGAGAGATCCTTCTGGAGCTCTTCACAATTCCAGGTTGTTCTCATTTCCTGGATAATTTGGTGCTCTCAGTGAACTATGCCACCTCACTGTTAACTCCTAATTCATTTATGACAAAGTCAAAAAGCACTTGTCCCAAGACAGATTCTTTTGAGATTCTGCTATTTAAATCACTTCACTGAGAGAATTGACCATCCATTCCTACACTATATTTACTTTTCTTTAAAAAAGGTACTGATAAGAGAGGGACCTTTTCCTGTTCCGTGACAGAAAAAATTTCTCAAGATTCTTTGTCAAAAGACCTTTGGAAGTCTAGTAGCCTAAGTTTAATGGATTAGCCACATCTGGATCCTTACTGAGACTCTCAAAGAAATTTAAAAGATCACTGAGGTAGGACGTAAGCAACCTCATTTGAAATCAGGGCATACTTACCATTTTTTCTTCAGAGGTTATCTCATCTCTAACTGTTGTCCTACAAATTACGCTCACTGGCTGCAATCCATACAAACGAGCAAACCAAGAGATTAAAAGACACAAAGAACATTTAATCATATATCTTCCAGGTTAGAAAAAAATATTCATTATTAATTAGAAAGAAATATTCATTATTCATTCATAGATATACAGTATCATTTTTGACCTTGAATAATATAGTCCTGCACTTCCTCAGCCCATTTCATGGGTGGAGAACATTAATTCTATGTGTAACATTCATTTTACTTTGCCCATTTTTTGATATCAGTTGACTAGAGTTTATTGTGACATGCTTGTATCTTGTGTGACTTCTCTATATATAGCAACTATTTTATTTATTCACATTCTGAATTCTTAATTATGCATCTTTAATGCTTTATGCTTATTCAATTTTCAGTTTCTTTACATTTCATAAAAATACATTTTGTTCTGAAGGAGCAAGGTAGCAATGTCTGAGAAACTATCAACCTGTAGGAATTTTAATAAAACTGAATCAACTCTTCTCCCAAATATCATGAGAGTTAGATATCTGAGCAACTTATTCGATATTCCCTATCTGGGATTTGCTTATTTCGCTCTTGGAAAGATAAGCTTGGAAATTAGCTCAAACTAGTGCTTCCAGGGCAAGACAAGTGGAGCTTGTTGCGTTCCAGAACTGCTAGTTTGGGTAACTTCTGGTTTTGCAGTCAAACACCTGCTCTCTTTACTGCAAGGACCATGTGGGTACTGCCCCTTCATTCCCATGGCTTCCTTCAGTACTGAGGATTCTGTGAACTGAAATGCATGCCACTGTTTTGCAAGTAGTTACCACTTTGTGACCCATGCCCTGCCCCTGGAAAAGGCTACTGTCAATGGCTTGATAAGCTTCCCTGTTGGCATTACAGATATTTTAAAGAAAGGCGGCAATGCTGCAGATGCTGCTGTGGCTGTGGCAGCTGTTTTAAATGCTACTGAACCATGCAGCACTGGTCTAGGTGGAGACTGTTTCTGCCTCTACTATAATGCTAGGACCAAGAAGGTCCATGGTCTCAATGGAAGGTAAGTTCCAAAGAAAAGGTTCAAGAGTTGCATTCTTTTATTTACTGGGGATTTCAATGGTGCAATGGTGGTAATTCATACCGTCAACTTTTTCTTCTGTTTAATTTCTGTTTGTTCCTTTTTTAAAATTTTTGCTGCTGATACATGAACCAGGGAAAATAGGAGGGCACAAATAACTCCTCTATGAGTTGATGCTAGGCTGTTGGATGAAAAGATGTAACTGCCTTTTTTATGCTCAGTGTGTTGCTGAAGGTAATGTCATTGACTATTGTAGGAACTGGAATGCTGAACTAGGGCTGCAATCCTATGTGTACTTTCTTTGAAGAAAGTCCCACTGAATGCAAAGGGATTTACTTCTGAGTAGACATGCATAGAATAGCAGTGCAGAAGGACCTTTGGGTTAACCTAAAAAGAAGAGTCTTTTCTATGTTCTTACTGGAAAACCAGATTTCTAAGATAGCACATAGCCTGCAAGATAGGCAGAAATAATTATAAAAGCAATCCTAGAAATTATGCCTGAACTATTTATTGTGAGAAAAATGGATTAGAGGATGCATCATGTGCCGCTGTGGTAAATCAGGTGTTACAATGAGGAGAAACATCTTTTCCATAGATCAGCTCTTGTTCACAACCAGTGAAGTCAAAGCACAGGTAGGACTTCAGCCCTAGAATTCCAGGTTGAAGCCCAGCTTTCTGCTCACTGCATCACCCTGGCAACCATGGGATATGATAGCTGGGAGCAGATGAAAGGTAGTTTTTTTCCAGGGGTTTTCTTTCTCTGTCTTTCTGTAGATTTTGTTGCACAACCATTAGGTGGCAATGTGATATAGAAGGATTACATAAATACACAAATGTTTAATCCTACCTTTTCCAAATAATAACATACTTTCCTCTATCTTAAAATAAAATCCCTCTGACAAATGGTTGCAAAGAATGGGTGAAGTCCTGAAGGATTACCACATATTAAGCACTGACAAACTATCATGAATCACAAATAAGTGACTTCTGTAGCTCTGTGTTTCTCATTAGCATTTCATACATGTAACAGTGCTCTTTTTAGTGGTACTGTTTGGGGTTGCTGCAGTTATCACAAACCTGTTTCTGTTACATACAAACAGCTTTTGTTCAGTATATGTGTGTGCATAATGTTACTTTCATCAATTTTTAAATTAAGCTTGATAAGGATATTTCTGTGCAAATATCCTGGTGGCAGAGAGGTTGCAGTTCTGGTTTCACTTGGGGAAAGTTTTTGTTTTAATTAGGAAATCTGGGTCTAATTAAATTCTCATTTTTGTTCTGATTTTCTACCATTTGAGTTCTATTCAACACTTCCCTACTGCAGGAAAATAGTTGTTCTCCCACAGTAGGTCTGTTGTGAATGTGAATAGAAAGATGCTATAAACAGCTAGTGTTGAGTCCTGGTGCTCTTCAGTTCCTGTTGCCGCAGTTGAAGGGCAATGGCAGGACATGCGATAACTGCTGTATCTGATTTCCTTTCCTGAACACTTTACAAAGAAACAGGAAACAATTTCAAATGCAACATTTCAGCTTGTTTCCAGGGTTTCCACAGCATGCACCAAGTACCGTAAGGAAAATAAAATTAAAGGCTCTTTTACTATGAAAATTATTCTGTTATTCAGTGCAATGGTTTCTTATATAAACATTAAAACAGGAACGACATAGACCAGATGAGTCAGAAATCAAGTTTGGTTAAGAAAAACAAAACCAAGAAGTAGGGAAGGAGGCTTGGGAACTGCCAGTGACAGAAGTCCTTTCCCTACTGATCTGCAGTCTATAGAAGAGGAATGCTAACTCAAAGATCATTCTTTTTTTCTAAGAAGCAACATGGCAGCAACCTAGGATGTTGGGTTTTGTGTGTATGTGTGGGGAGATGCATGCTATGTAGCCAAATAGAATCCCACCACTTTTCTGGCAAGGCTTCAGTGGTTTTAACAAGCACATATGTACTGATTGCTTTTCCACTTCACTTCATCTGGGTGAGAATGCAGGTCATTCACAGACAGAAGGAAAATTGATGAATTCCAAACACAGTGCTGGAGGAGAGCCTAGACTGACAGAAAGATTAACAAGTGGGACATACAACAAAGCAAGCTTGAGCTTTCCCTCGGAGCAAAAATGCCCAAACTGAACTCGTTACACTTTGGGCACATCATGAGAAGGCAAGACTCACTGGAGAACCCAATCATGTTAGGGAAAGTCAAAGGCAGAAGAAGAAATGGAAGATCAAGTATGCAATGGATGGGCTCCATGAAGGAAGCCACAACCTTGAATTTGCAAGAGCTGAGCAGGGCATTTTGGAGTGCATTCAGTTACAGAGGCTCCATAGGTCAGGGAAGACTTGATAGCAAGTTACAGCAACAATACCCTATCTGTGAAGAATCTCCAGGCCTGTTGCTCAACAAATAGTCAGTAAAAGGCTAGGATTCCCAGGTTCAAAGTGCTGTAGTGATGAAGATTCTACAACAGGTACAGCATTCTCTTCTGTGTAACTTTTAAAGGGACAGGAGCCCTCCCAGGGTCTGGCCCTAGAAGAATTAAAAGTTTAGCGACACATTTCAATGCTGAATCAATAACAGGGTGTTTCAAGGCAGGGATTTTATTGCACAATTATCTTGCCCCATGTGCAGAATTTCAGTGTGTGTGTGTGTGTGGGGGGGCTTTGCCTCTCCCTTGTTACCTTCCCATGGTTTTCCACAACTTATTCAGTCATTGTATTTCTTACCACATTAAGGTAGGGAAAGATGGAATAGCTGCACCATATCTTTTGAGTTGCAGTGCTAGGACACATCCTTTTGGAAGCAGTCCAACATGTTGCGATTAAGGAACAAAATGGACAATTTAAAGTAGATTGATTGGTTGATGTGATCACTAAGTGTTGCCAGAAAATGGATTGTGGATTTGCTTTGCAAGTTTATAAATCAGTTAGTGAAATGTCATAACTGCCATGGATGTTGCCCATATAATTTCAGGTTGCTACCTGGTTTGTCAGAGTTGATGCAATGTGGCACCAAGCTAGCTGCGATGCTACTGTCTTCTTTTTAAATCAAGTGGATGTTGTTGTTGCTTGCTTGTTACATACATCCGTTGCTTACATGTGGATGCCTGTTTACTTTGCAGTGGTCGATCTCCATGCTCCCTAAGCCTTGAACTACTGAAAGAACATGGCTTCAGCGAGGAGAATGCTCCACCTCTGCTGCATGCATATAATGTCACTGTACCGGGTGCTGCAGCTGGCTGGTGTGATACAGTCTCACTATATGGCAGCAAAAAGGTGAGGCCCAACTGACTATCTGGTTCAAAAGTGCATTATCTGGGAATGGTGTCATCTTTACGGTTGAAAAAGCACCATCACCATAAAGCCACCATTTAAAAGAGCTGAATGTGCAAATTGGTTATTTGTTCAGAATTTCTTCCGCTCCTTCTAAGCTCAGAGACGGGCAAGAAGAAGGTCACACCATACATCTCCTTCTGTTGCCTGAATGCTAGAAAACTTACTCAGCATCACCTAGCGGCTGCTGCAAAATGGTCAGGCTGCTTGCATGTTTGTTTATTTATGAATTACATTTATATCCCACCTTTCCTCCGTGCATGACCCTGCACACCATTTTATCCTCACAGCAACCCTGTTTATGTTGTGCTAAGAATCAGTGACAGCCCAAGGTCAACAGTGAGTTCCATGAGTGAATGGGGATGAACCCAGGTTTCCCTCCACTCTTACTATTACACCGTACTGGTTCTAAAGTTTCTATTGTATTTTCAGGTTTATCTTCACAATCCTAGGTGGCGGGGGTGGGCGAATATATGTGTGTTTAAATGAAAGTTAAGTTTCTCAAGATGCTGTTTTCTGTGCTCATTACTAGGCTTCTAAGTGTGATGATTTTGCAAGGAAAACATGAATATGCTATGTCTGGATATTTGCCAGCACGCAAATAAGTGGATAAGAGAGATCTTGTTATGTACTGACCTGGCATTCAACAACAACAACACCAGGGCCCCAAAACCTGTTGAATTCATGGCAGACCAATGTTATGAGTTTCAAGGACAAAATTGCTTGTATCCACTCTGACTTGGATGGCACAGTTACTGCAGTACTGCCTTTGGAGGTGTCCAGTGTGCTGTCTGGTCCGTCTTTGATAGATGAGTTTCTGCCTTTGTGGCCTGATGATGTGGACAAGATGCTTGGCCTAGTTCAGCCTACCACTTGCTTGTTTGATCCTTGCCCATTTTATTGGAAGACTGAGGGAGGGAACCCACACCTGGGTCCTGGAGGCTGTAAATGGGTGAGAGGATGGTGCCAGGTGTTGAAAATGGCCGTGGTTACAACACTCCTAAAAAAATCAAATCTGGACCTGGGTGATGTGACTAATTATAGACCAATAGCAATTTCTGAGCAAGGTGATTGACTGGGTGGTGGCTAGGCAGCTCCAAGGTCTCTTGGGAGACATGGATTATCTCGATCCATCTCAGTCAGGTTTCAGGTCTGGCTTTGGGACTGAGACTGCCTTGGTTGCTCTGTGGGATGATCTTTGCTGTGAGAGAGATGAGGAGTGCAACCCTGTTGATTTTTCTGGCCCTCTCAGCAGTTTTCAGTATCATTGATCATAGTATCCTTCTGGAGCAGTTAGCCAGGTTGGGAGTCAGAAGCACCACATTGTGCTGGCTTTGCTCCTACCTGGTGACTGTCTCCAGATAGTCGTGCTGGGGGATTATTGCTCTGTGTCTTCTGTTGGATTATATTTCCTTTCCGTTCCTTGAGACTCCTGGAGCATTCCTTCGCTGCCTATCAAGACTAAGAGAAGCATCCATCTTTACCCTTTTACAGAGGCCTGTTCTCCATTTTGAAGGCATTCTCTATTTGAATGGTGGTCCAGTCCAAGTCTGACTCAAAAGTAAGGAGCTTAAAGAAGGGAGAGACTTGATGTTGCCACACAGAGTTAGCCCCTGCAGTGAAGCACACACTGTATTTCTGTTTATATCACAATAATTTATGTAGTTCTACCAATACACATACAAATATTATGAAATATGGTACACTCTCTTGTCATCTTTTGGTGATGTATAAGTAGCAACCCTTCAAGTAAGAAACCAGAAGCTCTTTATGGCCATCTGCCATGCAAGAACTACTTGCAAGGCTTTCTCTTTTCTAGGAAATATCTTGTAGTAAAGGAAAAAGGTGTGTACATTTCATTGCTAGTGTTTTGAGCAGTTTTGTCCATGGGCCTAAGTTTGTAAAGAGGTGTGAATGCTTCTAACCAGATATGAGTGCATTTCAAATCTGTATTTGTATGGAAAATAATTGTGCAGTCTCTTCTGTTTCAGCTTTCCATGCAGCAAATTCTTCAGCCAGCAATAGAAATGGCTGAGAAGGGCTTTCCAGTCTCAGAGATTACTTCTTACCAATGGAAGCATAATATCCATGCCCTTCAGACTCCTGGAAACCAACATGGGAAGGACCTGCTGATTGATGGTCAAGCACCTGATCATGGACAAGTTTTTCAGAATCCATTTTTGGCAAACACTTTTAAGGTAAAGGGTTCTGTCTGAAGGCGGTGCCTCTGAAAAACTCAGATCTAAGTAGTGTAGTTACAGGGATCATGTGATTAGCAGCAGCACTGTTTTTCCCTCAGCTCTTGCAATTGCAGGAACCTCAAATAGGTATCTGCAGTTGCATCCATAGGCAAGCTGGATTGTATATTACTTCAGTGGTCAATAAAAATGTGTCCTCGGGTACAATTGAGGCACATTGTGTGAGAATTTCAGTGTAACTTCTTTCCTGACTGCCAACTGATGTAGTAACATATGCAAGTTTAGAATTGCTAGAAGATGGTTTTCAGGTGACATGTATTTACCTCCTGGTCAACATGGAGCATCTTCTTGAGATAGGTTGGGCAACTCCTTGATATTCTGCTAGGGAATGTGTTAGCTTTGCCTCAGATGCTTTCTGGAACATCCTGCAGTCCAGCCAGACTTGCACTGGAAGGGAATTGGCTAATGGAGGTATATCTTTATTTTGAATCTTAGGTAAGGCTTTACAGCCTTCCAGTTGTTCAAAAGCACCTCATTAGTAACATGTTGCCAATAGGTTCACATTGAATTATGTTGCTGGGTGAGTTTCACCTTTGAGGATGTATCCCAGAGGTGCAGGGCCAAGGGGCCAGCCCTGGCTCTCCTAGCCTCCCATTCTGATGGTTCCCCAGCTTTTGTGCAGTGCTTCCTTTCTGAAAGGATGAAATGCCTCTTCTGCAGCTGGAGGCCAAAGTGGACATTTGGGTATTAACAAAACAGTTGGGTAGGACTTTTTTAAAAAAATCTTTGTGTAGGTAAGAAATCAGATGGGAGTTATAGCACTCCAAAAACTGGGGGTTAAAACTTCTTCCCCACCCGTCTTTTTCCTGAAATCTTAACTGCACAGGGCGGTTAAAAGAAGAAAAGGTCTGACTTTGATGTTTGAAGCATGAGAGATAGAAGGTGACCTTCTACATACATGCTGAGCTGTGGTGCTAGCAGCTGGGGGCAGTGGTCCTTGTGGAACTAGACCCCACACCCTCGCTCCCTGGCACCAACAATGCCTCTTGGAAGGAAGTGAGACCTGCAGCCTGTGGTAATGATGAAGTCTGAAATATATCCAAAGGAGATAAATGCTATGTATGGGAATTAGTGGGATATGGCAATACTGTACATCAAATTTAATTTAATTTAATTTCCACAGCAATTGAATTTGCTTCCTGGCTAACCTGGTTTTGACAAATGTAAGGGATTTGGAGGCCATGCCTGGATACGCTTTAGCAGCATCTCCCCCTTTTATTATTATTTTTAGCTAATTATATCTCATTATCCTGGGATAACAAATACTACCTCTTAATGTTATTGTGAAGCCAATGCAATGCTGAAAAAGTATTCAGAGACAAATGCATAGAAATCAATAAAAGGAGGAGGGCAGGAGAACCCAGAAAGCCGCACCCTTATATTGAGTCAGACCACTGGTCTGTCTAGCCCTTTCTACTCAACACTGACCGGCAGCAGCTGTCCAAGGGTTCAGGCAAAGTTTTCCATCTCTGCTGAGCCTGGAACTTAGGACCATCAGCATGCAAAGCACACGTCCTCTTTCATTATGCAGCTGGCATTCATCTAATGTCATTAATGTGTATTTCTATTTCTCTACAGTTAGAGTAGTGACTAACATTTATCTCTGCTATTAAAAGATGCACACATTCTTTCCTTTATGGTTAGCAAGTGCCCAGGACATGGGCTGAGAGTTTGTACTGCATGTCTTTGTCTGCATGTGTAATGGCCACATGTTCAGGGTGAATCTTTAGTCCAGTGTCAGGAAATGGGACGCCCAAATGGGTGGAGGGGCTAAGCTCTCTAAAGAGGGGATTAACAACAGGACTGGAGCTGGAAACAGAACAACTGAGTATATAATTTATTTCAAAAGTGGAAGGTATAAATGCATAGGCATTGTTCAGGTAGGACCAGCCACTAGTTGGTCAGCTAGAATCTTAGATAATGAAGTAGTCTGGGAAGGAAAGAAGAAATAAGACTGAATGTGGGGTATTTTATTCAGATAATGTTAGGCAAGGAAGGAATGGCTGCTCGATATGAAGAAGGCACATGAGTTTGGATAAATATATAAGCTATAAACTCAGAGAACTTGACCCAGGAAGACATGGGTGAACCTTACCAGTGCTAGTGGGAGGAGGGAAGGAAAGACTGAAGAGAGAAAGACTTGAAACATTGTCTATTCCATTGTAAAGAGAATGAAAAGGACTTTTTTCCTTTGATGTCTGCTACAATCTGGCAGTTCATCCTTCACTAAGTATCCTAGTATTTATATGAAGCTCTGTCCAGGGCATAATGTAGGACCGAAGACTCCTGGTGACTTGTGAGGTCCCACTGTCCTTATGTTCTGAGCACAGGGAAAACATGAAGCAGAGGAGTGAGGAAGAATATGGGAGGATGAACGGAGGGGGTAAAGCTAGCTAACAGAAATGAACTGTTTGGAGAGGGTAACGTGAACTGCTGGAGTATCACAGATGGCACTCTTAATGGAAGGCATTCCTTTTAAATTCTTACTTTAGGGAAAGGGTTTTCTGGCAAGGACAAAGAAGAGTGAGGGGGCAACTGAAGTGCCCATGGACTTGCAATGGGAGCATGTGCAGAGTGCAAAGCGGGTGGTCCCTAAGCTAAGCAGATGCTAATGAGTGCTAATACATATACAGGTCATGTCAGACAATTTTCTTCCTTTTCCATGGAAAGGAAAGTAGCAAGAATATACTGGTATGATCAGCAAGGGTTTCCTATTCTCAATTGTTTAGAAATAGCAGCAAGGAAAAAGCTTCCTTCCTCTTAAATTAGGTTATTAGAATCCCTAATCTGAGGTAATGGACATGTAGATTTGGGTTTTCATATATGGTTCACTCTGTTTTATGGCTTGGTGGGTTCAGTAATTACTCCGCCCCCGAAACTTCCCCTAGCACTTGGCTGCACTTACTTTCTTGTACAAACACAAAGTAATCTCACAGTCCTATGGAGAATAAGGGTACCAATTCCTGCTAGTCATGATGTCTGTATCAGAGGCATTTGCCTTGTTGCTGGGAAACATAAGCAGGAGGGTGCAGTTGCTTTAATTGGCTGGCCACTGTGTGAACAGAATGTTGAACTAAATAGACCTTTAGTGTGATGCAGAATAACTCTTCTTATGTCCTCACATCTGCCCATGCCTAATCTAGAGAATTTTTCTACTCATAATTTGAACTATTTCTTTTCACTAGGGGGCGCTAATGTAAGCCACAGTCTCTCAGGGATCAACTTTCTGTGTCTGCTAATGATGCAGAGAATTTTTCCAAAAGTTTAAAAGGACAAGCAGTGCATTTTCCTGCTGTTATGCCATTAGTAATGGTTTTATGAAGGTCCCCAATTTTAGGAAACTGGCTTAGAGTCAAGCAATGATCAAATATTCAGTATGGCATATATACGTATTTTCTATTTGGAAAGTCTGTGCACAAAAGTTTTATGACTTTGACAGTTAATGTATCAGGTCTGCGGGAACTCCTGCATGGCTTATATCACATAAACAATGAGCTTTCCTTGACCCTGTTCATTGCATCGTGTTAATATTTAACAGTTTGGTTCCAGGTGGCAACCTGATATATTGAGGACAGTACACTATTTGATTAAGCATGGGGAATGACACATGCTCTTTTGTCCTGTTGGTACCAGGTACTGATAATTTACCATCCCTTTTGAATCACTGATATTGAAGTGACTCTCCCTCGGAATCAGGGTGTGGAGGTGGAGGCAGCTTCCTCTTGTGCACATAATCACCTCCCTGACTTTTGAAGCCTAGTACATATAGTAAAAGTGGCAGTATATCCTGGCTTTCTAAATGCAGCTCTTTCACAAATGCAAAAATAACGTAAAATATATATGAAACCATATTTTTCTCACAAGAAACATAGCTCTGGAATACTAGATCTAAATTAAGCCTTCCTTTCATAAGCAAAGATACATGAGTTTAGCACACCAAACAATGGAAGTTTTGTCTTCCAAGTGTCTGCCCTGAAGTATGAAAAAGTCTTAGAGAGTCATAGTTCAGCAATTCAATGGGACTTAAGAATGGGTCACATTTTTTCAGTTTTTACAGTACTAGTAGCTTCTGGTATGCACAGATGTGAAAGCCCAGAAAAAGGGTGAAAATGCAAACCTAACCCCCATTTTTCCAAGGGAAACCACCCCCTGGGTAAAAATGTGTATCCCATAACATTTTCCATTCCCCCTCATTTTTCCTGGGCCTTTACATTTCTAGTTATGCAAAATTCAGTGGTGTTGTAATTCTCTGGAAGCATGCAACAGCTTGAGAGTGACCAAAGGTAATGGAAAAGAGGAGTTAGTCAACATAGCCTATAAATATAAATATCCCTTGAGTTAGATTGCCAATTTGTATAATGACACAGAATTATATCAGGAAACAATAGCTTGGGTCACATGCAACTGAAAGCCATGGATTAGCATTACATGCGCAAGCTCTGAGCTTGGGTTCTTTCTCTCCTCCTGGTCATGCCCCTTTTGAGATTCAGTTGCCTCCCTAATTTTCAAGTTTGTGGCAAAGTAGTTTTAAGATTTAATCTGAAACAAAATGCTATGGTTTTCATTTTTCTTCTGAATTAGGGTTGGAAACACGACCAAACTATCAAGGACTGGAGAAAAGGCTTAATTCTGAGTTGTTATACTAATTGACAGTCTAACTCAAGGTGTTTATAAAAGTAAAGAATATTAGGTTGTGTTTGTCAACTCCTCTTTTCCATTATCTTGAATAATTCTTGGCTGTTCTATGTTTTCAGATAATTATAACTCCATTTAATTTTGTATAATGGATGTAAGTCGTAATAAAGGGTGACTGAAAAAAAGGTTGGGCACACCTAAGTCCCAATAAACTGCTGAACTGTGTTCTGAAAGAGCTCTTCATGCTGTGACAGTCACATGGAAGTTCGCAGAAATGCTTCCATGTGGTAGTTATAATACATGCAAGCTGTTCATCATGTTGATTTGCCTGTTTTGCAGGGTGCAGTATGAACTTTTGGTACCCTGTGATGGGGTGGGCAGAAAGTAGAGCTTCAGATGTTTTGGGCTTCAACTCCAGGTATTCCTTGCCATCACTCGTGCTGGCAGCAGTTTCTGGGAGATGAAATCCAAAACATTTGGAGAGCTACCTTCTGCCCACACCTGCCCTGGGATGAACATCTGAGAAGCCCCTCTTAGACCCACCTCTGAGGGAGATTTGGGGGATGTTGACCATGGAGCATTCCTTCTCAGTTGTGTCCCCCACCCCCCATTATGGAATGGCTTACCTTGTGAGACCTGCCTGGCACCAACATTGTCATTTTTCCATTTTCAATTTATATGCCACCCCACTAGCCATAGGTCCTCTGGGCAGCTTGCATCTTTTTTGTGAATGTGTCTAAAAAATCTAGATGATAGAAGAGGATAATGATGCTTGGGGAGTTTCCACAACAAACTGGCACGCTCTTGACAATGGCTGATGGGACAAAGTCTTCTGGCATTACTGATGTCAGAGTGAATCCTTTTGCCTTTATTTCATACTTGCCCTCCCGCCCCCTGAGATTGGTGGCAGAGGCCCTTCTCCGGGAACCCTCTGTGAAAGTTATTAGGAGGGTGAGTACCCGGAGGAGGGTCTTCTCTGCGGTGGTGCCCCACCTATGGAATGCGCTCCCCAGAGAGGTCTGCTTGGCGCCGTCATTATTTGTTTTTTGGCGCCAGGCCAAGACCTTTTATTTAAACATTATTTTAATTAATTGTTAATTTATCTATTGTTTTAACTTATTGCCTGGATGTTTCTAGGTTTTATATATTTGTATTGTTATTTATTTGATGGAAGCCGCCCCGAGGCTTATGTGAATGGGGTGGCATATAAGAATCCCAAATAAATAAATAAATAAATAAATTTTAAAAGCTGTTTGGTGAGTTAGATTATACCATGCTCTCCAGCTATTTTGAAGTGTCTTATGTGGTAGCCATCATGGCATGGGTCATTTGAGTGTAATGCCTTACCATGCAGATTGGGTGATTGTTCTCCTTGCTATTAAAAATGGGGAGGAAGGGGAGTTTGTGGTGAGCAAACTGTTCAGCCTGCTTGATGAATGCAACCTCAGGGTAGTGCTTCTATTGTGCATACTGGTCTATCTTGCAGAATATGAGTTTAATATATAGTTGACGTATGCTATAAACATCCAGGAAACAGGAACTATTTTTGAAGAGGTCATTATTGATTTATTTTGGTACATATAATTATTATGTGTGCTTGCATTATTTCTGTGCGCACGACTAGCAGAAAGGATTTCTCTGTCCTTTCCACTTCCAGAGATGACTAATGCCAGTATCTGTTAACACAGGTTCTCAGTTGTTCATCAGTTTCTTAATGGGAGGTCATTAAACACTCTTGGAATAATGAGGACACAAATACCATTGTTAATCTCTCACCATCTTTTGTTGAAAGCCTATGAATTAGTGTGCAAACATTTCTGAAGTCTTTTGGACATAGAGAGGAGAGTGGATCCTGGATGTAGAGGGAAATTAAAGCTCAAAGTGCTGAATCTGTGTTCATGAACTAATATTTAGAAAAGCAATTAAATGTTCCAGTGTTCGGAGAGGCTGAGTGCTCAACAGTTTAACTCCTGAGGTCACTAAGAGATGGATGCTTCAGTGTAAATCACGTTATCTCAGTAATATTAGCAAATTAATACCAATCTTTAGAAAACAATTGATACCCATGTGAAACATGTGATAACAATAAACTATATATGCCTATAACTGTATAAGGGTGACTAGTTAGCTGTTTAAGCAGTGGCTCAAATTATTCATTGCAGTGGATCAGATTGTCAGCTGTGACCCTGCTCAGCATTCTGGGCATCTGCAAACCAAATTACATACTTAGCAATTGGCAGGCAGATTGTAGGAATAGCTATAGTATCAGTGCAAATGGCACAGTGCAGATGGGAAAAACTACTGCTCAGGCTGAAATGCATCCTGGTAATACCTACTTCTTGCTTTCCACTTTCTCTTGAGTGCTGAATGAGCAATGTGGGAAGCCTCTGTGGAGACATGCCCTTGTTCTTTTGTTTAGCAGTTTTCAGCTTAAACTCTTTTTCCAGGAACTGGCAAATTGTGGCAAACAAGGCTTCTACGAAGGCCGTGTGGCCAAAGCGGTTGTTGATGTTATTCAGCGCAATGGTGGAGTAATGGTTTTAGAAGATCTGAAAAGCCATGCCACTGAAGAAGTCGAACCAGTTGTCACAAATTACAAGGTATGCCACAGACTTCAGTGCTCCAGAATGTTAAAATTATAAAGATAATGAAGTTCTTCTGTGAGTTAATGACATCCAACTGAATAACAATCCCTTATAGTATTAAAACTGAAACTTCTAGGATTTCAGTACAAATTTCAAGGGCTTGCAGTGTTTACCTGAAAGAATAGGTGAGCGTTAGGAACTCAGAGTTCATCTCCAGTTTATATTTCAGTCTCATCAAGAGAATTCCTGTCTTACTCCTAACACTCATGTGGAATCTTCAAATCCATAATCCTTTTGCCTTTAAATTCCACTTACTAGCTTTCTCTTTAGGAGCTGTAATTGCAGTATCCTTGGACAAATTGCATTTCCCAAGGGCCATGGAGAATGAATACTGGGGAGGGAAGTGGAGGGGAGAGGAAGGAGAGGAACAGGTTTCCCTCCTTCATTCTTCTCATAGCTAAAGTGCCTTAGCTGCTAACACTGGCAAGTGACTGAAGATTAAAGGGAGAAAGAGTTGGAAAGATAGATGAGAGAAAGAGAGCCTTGGCTGTTGAGTGGCACAGAAAATGGATGGATGGACGGACAGACAGACAGACATACATACATACAGACAGACGGATGGACTGCTGGATGGATAGATAAAGAGGGCTTGTAGACCTACCAGGTTGCACAATTTATTATTGAAATTTGCCTAGAAATATAATAAATAGCCCATCTGAGCCCACCCATAGCCCATTTGAGCTGCCCTAGTTTAGGCTGGCAATGTTCTCTAGGGAAATCTGCTGATCACACTAGCTGTGTGGGCTGACAAATTCACATTTGGCCAGTGAAGGCTTCTTTTTTCATGGGACATAGTGAAAAAGCATTCTATGTATTTTATTTATTTTCATGTACAGCCTGTGAATTCTATTAATTAAAAATCCACTCAAAGCAATGAAATCACTTTGAACCATGAAAACTAAAATGAATTTAATATTCAGAAATATCATAAAATGAGGGTGGACACTTATTGCCCAAAAAGGAAATACATCACAAAAAATGAGAACAATGCTTTACATAATGTTTGCAAATGCAAAATTAGGCCTAGATACACATTTCTAGATACTGCCTCTAATTTATATATAGAAGCAATACATCCCACCACAGTGAAGAGGACCACCTAGGTGACCTGTGTGCCTGATCAGTCTGCTGCCTGGGTGTTAACTGTCGATTGGCAACTTCAAAGTCCGCATCCTCTCTTGTGCTTCTTTGATTTTGTACCAGCCTTAGAGTGGAACCTCATTAAATAGAGGACACATCCAAATAGAGGACTATCTGATGGCTCTTAAAGTAGAGGACTGTGTTCTGTAAAGTAGAGGATCTGGTCATTTTACATATGCATCTTAAAAATATTCTGCCCATAGATGGAATACCATACAGATGCATCTCGGTATTAATAAAATGAGGGGAACTTTTCAGGCAAATTGGGACACAAGACCCAAAATGGAAGAATCAGAGCTGTATTCTGCATGGCAGTCTTATTTTCATGCTCCATGTCCTGTTCCAAAAGAATCTTCCATAAATGGGCATGCCTTATTGCTAAATGTGTTTCTCTTTATACTTCAAAAGCAGTTCTTTCCAGTCACACAGCCAAGAGTGTAAAGAAAAGAGAAAAGAAAAGGAGTTCCTTTGCCAAGTAATTCTTGGGAATTCCCCCTCCCCTCCACTGCCACTTTGTTCTGTAACGTCTTTTCTTCTCTGTATAATTTTCTTCCCTTTTGCACTGCAAGAAAATTGTATGGCAAATGTTTACCTTCTTCTGAGGCCAACATGCTCTGCAAATACAGACCTTGCAAATTAAGGTCAGCTTTGGTTGTTTTCCCTGAAAATAAAGAGAAACATTAGACTCTTCGAGGCATGCATTTTGAGGTATTGCACTGAACGGGTCAAACTATATATGAGATAAACGCTTAAACACAACGTTGTCTGTCTGCAATATTGGCTCATAACCTAAATCAGACCAAATTATCACACTGACAGTATTACCTTCTTAAAATGGACCCTGACAAATTTAGTGTAGACCAAGTATAATATAGCAACTTGTAATGTGAATCTTCTCCCTGCACTCATATTCTAGCCAGAATATTGTACAAATACACTAGCAACTGAAACCTTTTTCTTTCCTCTTGAGAGAGAGAGTGATATGCATAGGGAAGAGGCTGGACTATATTGGGCAACTTGAAGGGGGAAGGCAGTGCTTCACACTTCCCCTTCGAAACATCTTTCTCCGGCAGCTTGATTTGAGTGAGAAGAGAATTTTGGTAGCGGCAAGAATGGAAGTATAGTTACACAATGGCTACTGGCAAACAGACCTAGCTTTGCATGGGTTGGAGTGGCCTTTAGTTCAGGGGGATGGAATGTCTTTCAGTCCAAGGAATAATTTCAGGTTTGGAGAAACTCTTGGAAACCATTTTCCATTGGTGGATGAGGGATAAAAGCAAAAGAAGTAGGCCCTAAAGCACTAACATAGTTTAGCTTAACGCTCTTACTGCCTTAGAAGAGACATTTCAAACTTTAAGAAGGCAAAAGCTAGGAAAAATCCCCAATGTGTTCAGGAACCCCTAAAGGGTGGATTGAGACCAGAGGAAGTCTGGAATTATCCAATTGGATTGAGGCTTCCCATCCTACTTGCTTAGACACAGCAAAGCAAATTTAGCAGCTGTCTGAGTAAGATATAATCTGCATGCTAGTATCCCTAGTCATAACCTCTCCATGATTCACCCTTAGAGCCACCTGAGGGAGGGCGTGTCCATCCATTCTCCTGAGGGGCAGATGCACCACAGGTGAGAGGAGGGCAGGCATATAACACTGACCCTTTGCCTTCTCATCTCCCTGGCTTCATACTGCTTGGAATATGAAGCTAAGTGCTAGTTGATGGATTCATACCTCACTGGCTGAAAATGTTATTGTAAGCTTCAACTTCATGGATGCATGTTAAAAAAAAATTCATGAGGTGCACTTCTTTGGGATCCCATCAGTATGACTGCTAAACTTTAGAAGACTAGGTTGCACGGCCTTCACATTATGGCACTGACAGAACATGTAAACCTATCACCTGGGAGTTTGTGCTACTGGAAAGAGAATATAGAAAATTATAATATATACTGCTTTCAGAAGAAATGTAGTCTTCTGAAAGCAGCAACTCCTGAATCTGGAACACATAAGTTTAATTTGTTTTACGTGGCTCTCTTATGCCTTTTGTGAGTTGAATTGTACTGTATATGTTGCTTCTTTGCATTTCCTTATTTTATTTCGGTGTTAGTATGTGCCTCTATTCAGAAGCAACACTCACTGAATTCAGTGGGCTTTGCCCTCTGGTAAGTGTGCAAAGGATTCTAGTCAAAAGCTTCGCTGAAACTCAGAAGCCAGTGCTTAGCCCATGACGGCAGGATGGGCAACTTGTGGTTCTACAGAAGCTGTTGCATCAAGAGACCCATCATACCTAACCATTGTTACATTGACTAGGGCTGATGGGAGTTTCAGTTCAACATCATTTGGGCTATGTGTTGCCCAGCCTTATATTAAAGCCCCAAACTGTCAAAAATTGCTCTTCATTTCATACAAAAGACAGATGGGTGATAATTTAGAAAGCTATTTGCATCAAATAAGAGAGGTGTGCATAGAGCCAAATCAATTGAATGGTAGACCTTTGGGAATTCCTTTCTGTCTGGATTTAAGGCAAGCTGTCCCTACCATTGAGGTAGTCACCTTAAGCAGTTGATTCTGAGTGGCCTCATCAAGATGTTAGTGGAGAGAACTGTGGGTCATATGGCTTTCCCTGCCAGGCTGCTCACCTCAGATATAGTGGATGAAGGTGTCCCATCAGCAGTGTTGAAGAAGAGTTCAACTACCAGCCCAGACAGCTGTTGCATGTGGAATGGGAGAAGGTATAATTTTTTCCCTTGTCTCAAGCAGCAGCATGATTGAAAATTCAGTACACACACACACACACGGCCCATTTCGAGTGTTCAAAGTTCTTTTTTATTGCATAAGTCATGGTAGTTGGTTCATATATTGGCACTTCTGTAAATCTGATTATTCTTCTCTCATTCATGAGTGCCAGAAATTTCAGAGCAGTTCTAATAGTAACAACTGTGTGGATTACCTAGCGATGTCTAAAAGAGCATGATTCCAGAGTTCCCACATAAGAAAAGGAAATGCTTAGACACCCAGTTATTAGCAAAGGTGTGCCATATATTGTAGTCATGCCTTTCCAATACTGCCAAGAATAGTACCTTTCTAAACCCAGAGCTAGTAATAAATCCATTAGTCATGTTGAAGGCATACCTATGTGATGAATGCAAATGCTTTGAAAGGTAAACATAAACGTGTTCTTATAAGTTAATAGTTGTATCTTGACTCAACCCCCTTTAAAAAAACATTCTTCATTGCTGTTGCTTTCATTGCAGTAAAATGTTTTTGAAATGCATCTTGCTTGTTCTTTGTTGTCAACATAAGGAGTCCTAATGGTTTATATGGGGTGTTATTATTATTCATTTAACCAATATGATGAAACTAAATATTCCATTTCAATATTCAAATATATACTGCAATGAGTGATGCATATTTTGATTATTATCTTCATAAATTAAAAATGTGAACTTAGGTGATGTTTCTCACATCTGACTAACCCATGAGCTACTTGGCCCTGATCCAGCAATAGAAGAAAAACGTTCATATAGGAAACTAGCTGTGCCTTTACAACTATTTACATTTTCTTTGTTGTGTCTTTTGTGTTCAGTGTACAGTGACAGTTATTGTTTTTTAGGGTCTGAATATCTGGGAAATCCCTCCAAATGGACAAGGAATCACAACTCTGTTAGCCCTTAACGTTTTAGAAAATTTCAACCTGAAAGGTATGATCAGATTTGGAGTCTGATATGCTTGTCCTTTCTTGCAAAGAACTGACTGCGAAGAACACAACTATTTGTTTTAGCTTTAAGCAGAAAGAAAAATAAAGCAAAATCTAGTTAGAGTGAAAAAGACCTCAACCTGAAAGGCATGATCAGATTTGGAGTCCAATATGCTTGTCCTTTCTTGCAAAGAACCAATTGAGAAGAAGACTGCTACTATTTTAGCTTAAGCAGAAAGAAAAATAAATCAAAATCTGATTTGAGTAAGAAAGACCTCCTGTTAGTCACTGGACCATAAAAAAATCCTGCATACTACTATTTCTATTTATTTTATCTAAAATGACAAAATAAATCTTGGGACAACTTCAGCTTCTAGCAACAGTGCTTGTGTGAAGCATATTCAATTCCTCTTCACTCTTCAACACTGTTCTGACTGAAAAATCTTTATAGCTATGATTCTATATTCACTAAAACCTCTTCTGAGAAGACATGAATAAGAACTCTGTTAGTAAATTTTATTTATTTATATATGTTTGTAAATCATTCTCCACCTGCTGGGATAAAGTAAATTTGCAAAATTTGTTAATATCTGTCAGTAAAATAGTATTGTTAGCCAATGCAATAGCATTGACAAAACAATTATATAGATATAAAAATATAAAAAGGAATAATAACAAATCTAGCATGTTGTTAAGTATTGTCAAGTCGTGTCCAAATAATGGCCCTTGCAAATGTTCTGTCCTTGACAGGCCTGCTCAGCTCTTGTAAACTCGAAGCTGTGGCTGCCTTTATGACATCGATCCATCTCATAACTGGCCTTCTTCTTCTCCTGCCTTCAACTCTCCCTAGCACTGCTGTCTTTTCCAGGGAAGTTTGCCTCCTCACAATGTGCCGAAAGTGTGACAGCTTCAGCTTCCAGCTGTTTTTGCTTCCAGAACAATTATTAGATTGATTTGTTCTATGTCCCACTTGTTCATCTTTCTCTCAGTCCAGAGTATTCTCAAAACTCTCCTGCAGCACCATATTTTTGACTTTTAATTTTGTTCCTTTCAGCTTTCTTCACTGTTCAGCCTCACACTCATACAAAGCGATCAGGAATGCAATAGTGTGGATGACCTTTACTTTGGTCTCCACTGAAACGTCCTTCCACTTGATGGTCTTTTCTAGTTTCTCCATTGCTACCCTTCCAAGTCTCAGTCTCCCTTGAATTTCTTGGCTCCATTCTCCTTTCAAATTGATGATTGAGCCAAGGTAGGCAAAATATCCCGCAATTTCAATTTCTTCATTGTTGACATTTAAGTTGCATATTTAAGTTGCATATTTTTTCTGTTGTTGAGATATTTGTTCTCTTAATATTTGTTCTCTTAATGTTCAGCTGCAGTTCTGCTTTGAACTTCCTTTTTTCACTTTCATCTGGAGTTGTTTTGATTCAATGCTTCTTTCTGCCCTTAATATGGTATCATATTTTAACTTACTGATACATCTTTCACCAATTATCACTCCTTGTTCCACTGATCCTAATCTATCTTTTCTTATGATAGATTTTGCTATCTGAAAGTAGCTTCTTATCCACAATATAGGTTACACATTAAAAAGATGAAATAGTGAGGCACACCCATTTCTTTCAGAAGTACCTTGTTTTCCTCTTTTGTAGTTTTCTCCTTTCTCTTTCTCATTGTAATAATTCTTTTGGTATCTGCTTGATAGTGTCTGAAAAGTTGCATTCAGGATTTTCACCCTATTTCTGTTACCTCTTGCTTCTTGCTTGTCCTATTTCTGTCACCTTTTGCTTTTGCTTTAGCTTCTTGCTTGTCCTTAGCAATTGTAATTGTTTCTTCAGTATCCATCAAGCTTTTTTTTTGCTACAGAAGTTATCTTTTGGCATTCTTCCCTAATGATGTTTCTGGTTTCAGTCCATAGTTTTTTTGGTTCATAGTCAATTGAGTTCTGTAATACAAGTCTGTACGTGTGGATTTTAAATTCCTCAGGCATGCTATTTAATTTGCAGTTTGGCACTATGCTTCTGTTATTGATCATTTTCAGCTTTACACTGAGTTTTATAGTAATAGTTCATAACCACTATTACAATCTGCCTCTTGTTTTGGCCACGAGAATCCATCTCCTGCTTTCAATGACATACAATATTTGATTTCTGTATCAGACATCTGGTGATGTCCATGTGTACAATCATCTGTTCAGTTGCCTGAAGTAAGTATATGCAATAAACAGATTGTTGACTTCATAGAATTCTGTGATTAATTCTCATGTGTCATTTCTGACTCCTTGGTCAAATTATCCCACATCATTAGATTCTGCTTTGTTTCCTGCTTTTGCATTCCAGTTACTGATCATTATAAGCATGTCTTGCATTGGTGTATTATCAGTTTCTCTTGGACACTTGCTTAAAGTTGTCCATTTCTTCTTCCTCATCTGTTGTTGGAGTGTAGTCTTCATGTTGGACATGTCGATAGTTTGCTGAGATCTATGATTGATGCTAAAACCCAATTTTGCATCATAGCCCCTAACTGTTTGTACTGTATCTTGCCTCAATTTTAGAGCCACCCCGTTTGTTCTGAGTTTGTCATGTCATGACCAAAATATTGTCTGTTTTTCTGACATAAAATGATGCCTCAGCCCAGTCTACTTTTGTTTGCTGAAACCAAGTGCGGTCATGTGTAACTGTTCCGTTTCTTTCTTTATGGTTTCCAGTTTGCCTTGATTCATGCTCGTCACGTTCCATGTTCCTATTGTATACGTTGTGCAGCATCAGACTTTCTTTTCACCACTGTGTCTGTCAGTCACTAGATATCCTTTGAGCTTTGATCTAGTTCTGTCATTAGCGACAGTACTATTACTACTTGTCCTTTGCTCTTCTGCAGTAGTGGTTGAGAATACCTTCTGACCTGGAAGTCTCATCTTCTGGCAGTATCTCTTGTTTTATTATGGACTGTTTCTTCATAGGGCTTTCAAGGTAAGAAAAATTCAGCAGTGGCGTGCAGATGCAGTGCTACCCAGAGTTAGCTTGAGCATCAGTGCCCCTGTGTGTGAAAGTTCCTCCACCCATGTCTCTTTCAGCTACTGCTGCTGCCCAGAAGCTACCCTTCAGGAGTTCCACCCCAGTCACCATTCATCATAGGCTTTCTCTTCTGCAGATTGCTCCTCAAGAGAGGGGTTGTGCCTTTGTCTGGTGTCTCAGCTTCAACCATTCCACCTTGGGTGACCTTGCCAAGAGACTAGACTACTGCAAGGGTTTGGCCTTCTGCTTGCATTGCTTGTGACTTCTCTGATACTCTCAGACCCCTTCCCACATTAAAGCATGCATCCAAGAGGGGGAAAAATAAAATAAAAACTATATATGTCCCTAGTCATTTAAACTGAAAAGTCCCATGGACAGTGTCCTGAGTAAAAAAAAAGTTTGTAATGTTCCTGCTAGTTGTACATATAAATCTACCCTATAGCTAACTAACTTGAATGTCTCTAATCAGAAGATCAGAGAAATCCAACATATTCATAATGTAATTTTTGCTAAAGTGCCAAAATTTATGAAGAAACTGTCCTTTCCCTCCCAATGATGTCCTGCTCTTTTAGGGTTTTCCTGTTTGGAGGATGCATATTTCCATTATCAGAGGTGCATCTGCTCTCTTTTTCAAAAAAGATAAAGTGTGTTCTATTATTTGTACTATTGTAAGGACCCATTAAATTGCATTTGTATCCCAGCTTTTTTTTCCTCTTGTGAAAAACTCAAGGAGGCTTACATAATTCCATTTTATCTTCACAGCAACAACCCTGTAAGTTAGTTAGGCTAAAATCGAGTCACTGGCCTAAGCTGCCCAGTGAGCTTCATGGCCAAGTGGGGACTAGAACCTGGATGTCCCAGTCCCAAGTCCAACACTCCAACTATCTCACTGTACCTGCTCTCAAAAAAGATGTTACAAGGTAGCAAGAAAGAAGAAGTAACTTCTGTTGCAGAAAACAAAATTGTTCTTTCCTGTATAAACAAAGAATGTAGAGTGATCTGTGTGCACACATCAGTTCTCCTGATTTTCTTTTTACATGACCGCAGCTCAGGCACCTAATTCTTATGGTTCAAATGTTGCTGCAACTGGAATTCTGAAACAATGATGATTGTTTAGGAAGCTCTTTGTGAAGTTGGGTAGAGTAGACTTAGCATCTCTACTGTCACTAGAAGAGGTCCCCTAAATTTATCAAAGGATAGCCCCCAAATGACCCTATTCTAGTGAATGGCTGCTGACCTGAAGCGCTGGCTGCCGGAAGACTCCCAGTGGCACTGGGGATGGCCCTGTTGTGGAGCAAACATGCTCGGAAAGCTGCCAAATGCCTTTCTTGAACCCAATGATGAGATGGGAGGAGGAAGATGGAATAAGGTAGGTGAGGGTTGTGGTAGAAGAGAATGAAGGTAGAATAAAGAGGTGATCTTTCTCCCTCCGCTTCACCCCATTCATCTCTTGCAATTTTCCTGTGTGTAGAACATAAACATCTAATGAAATGGATGTATTTATTATTACAATTTAACCCTGTTGTTTTAGCAGTAATTGTAGAAAATTGCTTTTCTCTGGGTAATGATGGTTTTTCAGAATCTGACAGAGTAACTTGTGTTTACTTTGGTTGCTTTTGTAGAAATGGGTCATAACACTGCTCAGTATTTACATGCTCTGACTGAAGCACTCAAAGTCAGCTTTGCTGATACTTGGTGGTTCTGCGCAGATCCAGAACAAACATCAGTACCTACAACAAAGCTCCTTTCAAAATCTTATGCCAGAGATCGTTCAAAGCTAATCGATTTGCAGAGGTGAGGTCTCTCTCAGTTTACTTTCAGGAACTGGTAGAATAGTAACTTGCTTCTGATTCTGGAAAATGCAGTTCTGATTTTCTTGGCATTAGCTTTACTTTAAAATAGTTTCTTTAGCCTTGACATTTATGCAAATTATACCCTTGTTTTGTTTGCTATGGAAAAAGAACTATTCTAGCTGCTTGGACATTTTCTGGGTAATTAATGATGTTTTTTTTAAAGTTATGAATATTTCAAGCTGTTTTTGAATGTCCTTGTTTTCAAAAGTAGCTTTGTTGTGGAATGGGAAGGGTCTGCTATTTGGAGAACCCAAGCCACAAACCCTCACAGGCATTCAAAAAAAGTTGCACAGCCTTTTGAATACCAACCCGTGACCCCATTTCTACATTGTGACACATTGTGACAAAGGGTCATAATATATCACAGTATTTACATGGTCTAACTGAATTGGTCATGATCAGTAATTTGCTGTTCCTTTGTGGTTCGGCATGAATTCAAAGTTGAGTTTATATATTTCCATTGCTTCATTTAAAGGATATATTGTTAAAGCAAACCTGCTACACGCTGTAGAGTGTTCATGGGGTTTCATCTTTTGATAAATTTATTTTTGAGGATGAGAGAGAGAGAGAGAGAGAGAGAGAGAGAGAGAGCGAGAGAGCGAGCAAGCAGTAGTTCTGTATAAAAGCATAACCTGCAAGAAAAGCATTATACTATATACTCTTATCAAAACAGATATACTATGTACCAGCCAGCCATTTCCTCCAAGCAAAGCATCCCACTGTTGACTCCACTTAAAAAGCATCTTAGATTTTGCTTGTCAGTCGATACTCCACATTCCAGCGTTACTCAGCATACTTGATTCTCTTTTTGCTATTTGGGTGGGATGGTTGCCTCTGTAGGTTGTTGGATTTTAAATGTTTTTTGCTTTTGTTTTTAACTTGTGGAAATCTCCAGTCCCCAACTCTGTGTGCACTGTTACCTCTCTCTTGCTTCTCAGTCGCCCTCTTTTGACTATTGGTACCCACTGCCTGAGTTTGAAAAACATGTAGAAATATCTTGCTAGAATGGGAAAAAGTCAGTGTGTCCCTTTTAGGAAAAATCTGTCAGAGCAGCCAGCGGCATTTTTTATGTGTGTTTTTACATTTGGAATATTTTTCTAAAAACTGCTCATGGTTAAGAAATGAATAAATTCTTCATACCCACTGCTTCAGGAATTTAGTGATTTTTTAATGAGTACATCCTGCCTTCATCAAGTGACATGCTTAAAGACAGCAGGCCTTGGAAACCCAAGGAGCAATGCCCTTGGCATGGTGCCTCTGACAGTGAGCATATGCGTTAGTTTGCAATTGTGTACTTTCGATAAAAATAGGTGCTTAAATTTGTTAGCAGCTTTATGTTTGGGTTTAAGTTATACAGTGGGATACTCATTTTCCATCTCTTCATAAAAAGGGTACAGACTTTGGTTCTTTCCTGTGCATTGCCTTACCTTTACATCCTGTTTGCTATTTGCAAACTGTTCTGGCTAGACATATGGGGAGCATAGTGAGAACATTACTAGGAATTTGGTCCAAGGCTGCTTTGGGAAGAAACTGTAATCTTTGTCCTACTCAGTAGAGTAGTAATGGGTGTAAACTAAATTCAGGTTTATTGAAGCCATAACAATAAACCCACTTCTCAATCTTGTTCTTAACCACAGTTTATTCTGAAGAAAAAGCAACACTGAGTTACTGATCTGGGACGTGTCTCTAACGCAGATGGGAGCTCCAAAACATTTTCCAACTTTCCAGCAAAAATGGTCTCCTCCTCTATTTGCTTGTTTCAGAAGCAAGCAGCAGTGAAGAGGAGATTTGTAGCAGGAAGCCAGAGGAGGCACCCAATCCAAATCATGTCATGGAACTGCGGATAGCTTGTCTTCCAAATGTCTGTTTAAGTGTGGTTTTCCAGAAGCACGTCTATCAGAGCACGTAGTTCAACACCAAGTTTATCTAGATTAATACCTGCACACTAGGGACCAAAATAAATATATTTGGATTTGTAAGAAGCAATCAGCCTAGTTTTAATTACGTATATTCAAAATAATAAAGGAATCTTTGAATATTAATGCATATTCATTTATTTGAGTATTAATGTCCCTCCTTGTGTAAGGAATGTTTCAAGATAACTACTAGTAACACAAAAGGGTATAATAAAAATGACATAAAAACAGCAACCAAGAGCCCAATAAAGCAATAAAGCTACTAAATCAGAAAGAAAACATAGAAAAGGGAAGTGGACTCCATAAAATGGAAAATTAAATTCCATTAAAAACTCAAGAAAAGAAGAATGGGATTTTGCATACTGCATTAAAAGTAGCAAAAAACAAACAAACATGTAACAACCAGCAACTAGTTACACATGCTTAGGGAGGCATTTCTTTATTCAGGCGCCACTGCTGGAAAGTCCCTTTGTTACTCAACTGTCCAATCTTAGAAGGTGCAGGTTAGAATCGTACAGTTGGAAGTGGCCTGGCAGGCCACTGGGTCCAATCGTCTCCTCAATGCAAGACTCACGTCACTGACCCAGATTTCAACCCAGTCTGCCCCTATCTTGTCTAGCATTCTGTGCATGCACAAGCTCCCTATGGGAAGCCTATATGCAGAACAGGACTGCATGAGCCATTGCACCTCCTGCTCACGGTCCCCAGCAACTGGTCTACCAAAGCAGTACAGTATATAATATTCACTCAAGTTATGATTTTGAGTTGAAGTTCAGTGAAAGTAAGGCAAGTGCACACATTCTACTTGGCATAAACATGGCTGGAAAATTGGAGGCCGAGGACCAAGGGGTGAGGAATTCCTATGTTTAGATAAAACCAGGTTCTCCCATTTCTTTCATTTTATTCTATGCGTGCATGGGGCAGGGGCTTGGAAAGATAGAGCAGGAAGGAAGCACCTGAGCCTAAGACAGACTCCTGTTCTCTGTGTGTCATACATATATATTGTGTGATGAGATTTTAGTATGTTTCTCTGTTATGTGAACAGGGCCATTATCAAGGTGTTTTTATTGATGCTTCTATAATGTGAATCACAATTACAGTGAGATTTGCTAGATTTAAGTTGTCACCATAGGTGGATGACTTGCCCAGATGGGGAAATTTAAAAGACTCATAAAAAGCAACAAATCAAATATATGTTGAATACAAGGCAGTGAAATTTACTAGATTTAAGCCATCAGTACAGTCAAAGTTTGTTGATAGTAGTAGACTGTGATTTAAAATGGATGATGAAATCAGAGATTTTGATATAAGACTCTTCTTGATTTTTTTTCAGAGCAACTGCAAAACATAGTCATGGAAATCCTTTCCTTGTTGAAAGTGATACTGTTTACTTCACAGTAGTGGACACCCAAGGCAATGCCTGTTCTTTCATTAACAGCAACTATATGGGATTTGGCACCGGGCTGGTGCCGGAGGGTTGTGGATTTACATTACAAGTAAGAAAATCCTTTTCAGTGACCTGTGTGCAGAGAGAGACAGAGAATTGCTTTAACATTAGTTGATGAGTCTTGCTCTACAGTGTTACATATTGCTGCTTCATATAAGCTCCAACTGGTTATATGTTTTTATTGACATTGAACAGTATCACATCATGAAACCTTCAACATAGGTGTTACTGGCTGCATATAGGAGGGGTGATTCACTCAGTAGTGCAGAGGCTTGTTTGTTTGTTTCTGTGTTGTGTGCTGGTCTGATGAGGCCTGCTCACCTTTAGGTCCAAGGTACCCCTACTGCATCCTTGAGCCTAGCATTCTACCTGCAAACACCAGTCCCATGAATTGCACTGGTGGGGTGGGGGGCAAAGATGGCAATAAGTGCATTGTCAAATTCTGAAGTTAACTAACTACAGTGTATTTTAGAACAATGCAGTATAAGAGTATTGACTTGAACAGCAACTAAATCAAGTTAAACACCAAGACATACTAGCTTACAGTGAGGAAGACAAACAAGATAATCTGCCCTTTAAAACTCAAGAGAACAGGATGGTCTTCAAAAATGTAATTAAGGAGCCTAGCTAACATAACTCAGGACGGAGTTCCACAGAAAAGGCCTTCTCTCTGGAAATCTACTGATTAATCTCAAGCAGCAGGGAAGTGTCCATGCTGAAGAGAACTGGCTGGAAAGCTTGGCTCTCTTCTAGTTCATCTGTGATTTGTAAAATCTAAGTAAGAGCTTCTTTTGGCCCTTTCCAACATGGCACCCTAGCAGGTATTTGTTTGGAAGCCTGCAGAAGGGTAATTTGAAGTAGAACAATGGCAAGTGAGGAAAGGTTCTGTTCTCTTTTATCCTACATTGCTTTTCTGCTCTAAGTTTTTCTCATCAATGGCAAGCTATTAAGCACTTTGATATGTAAGATGTGAGCTGTTCAGTGACATAACACAGGTTGGGGAACTTCAGTTTAAAACTGTATGTTCTATGTACATTTATTAGGCTTTTTTTTACTTATTGATCAAGTGATTGTGGTTCTTTATTTTGTATTGTTCTTAACCTTGGAACCATATTCCATGTGGTTGTTTAGCCATTTGCTAGATTTTACTACATCCATTTATTTTCAGAACAGAGGAGCCAATTTTTCACTACTGCCTGATCACCCAAACTGCCTGGCACCCAGGAAGCGGCCATTCCACACAATTATACCTGCTCTGGCTACTGCTGCAGATTCAGGGGAACTTCTGTGCTCCTTTGGAGTAATGGGGGGATTTATGCAACCACAAGGACAGGTGCAGGTGAGTCCTTAATAGAAGGGTCACAGCTTCTTTGACAGGATGTCACTTGCAAACCCTCCAGAAGACGGCTTGCAGTCTGAATATCTAAGCAAACCCTAAGCAATACCTATCAGTGACGTACCTGGAATTACTTGACTATAGTGGAACTGATAGAACATGCCCTGCCTCTCCACCCAACCAACGCACCTGCTGTGTCTGATGCCTAATGTGTCCACATGTGATTGTACTTTTGGAATATGGCCTATTTACATAAAGTCCAATGGATGCCAAATTGAACACTACAGTTGATATCACAACTGAACTTTAGGAAGTAACTATGTGATCTGGGTATACATATGTTCTATTTCATGCAAGTACACCCTCTTGAAATGTTGTGGCCAAAAATGGACATCTGTCTTACTGAGGGAAGGTGTACTGAGTGGGTGAAGAAGGCAGCTGTTATGTCACACTCCTCTCCTACATTGGGGTACATGCTGTTTTTCAACCCAAATGCAGAATCCCAGTTTGGAGAAGCTTTTGGGGCTGCATTCCACATCTAGGCAGATCTGAAGGCAAAAGTGGGTGTGGCCAATATGATCAGATTCAGCTCATATTGCCTAATACAGTGCTGTTTCCATCTACCTTCTTTACTTCCCTTAATGGAACAAAGTTAAAATATTAGTTACTATATTTGTTCAGTTGATGTTATTTGTTACTTGAACTTGAGATAATAATTGGACAGATTCCAGTGAGGTTGCTAATCATACTGGATGACTGGCATAAAGTTATCCCATTACGTTGACAGCTGTTTCATAACAATATACAAATTATAGAAAACAATTTGCCAAGTGTGATGTTGCATTGTGAATGGATAACTTCCTGATGATATGCCAGATTTTTGAAACAGGTTTTTCTGTCCTAGTTCTTTTCTCCCCGTTCCATTTCTCTCTCTTGTTATTGCTATAGGTGCTATTAAACATGTTGGAATTTGGGATGAATCCACAAGAGGCTTTGGATGCTGCTCGTTTTTGTGTGAAACACAGCAAGAAATGTAAGTCAGCATCATTTGAATGGCAAAATCTAAAATATCCAGTTTGTCTAATGATGGTTTAATCAGTAGCTTAAGCAGGAACACTGATTATAAGAACCTAAGAACAGCCATGCTGTTCAGACCAAAGGTCAATCCTGCGCAGTACGCTGTTTGTACAGTGACCAACCAGATGTCTATGGGAAGTCAACAAGCAGGAACTGAATGCATCAGCCCCCTCCTTTCTGCTCAGTTGCTCACCAGTGTTGAGAAGCATATGATCTCTGATCCTGGAGACAATTTGTAACCAACATGCCTAGTAGCCTTATCCTTGGGATTTGCTTTATCCCAATTTAAAGACAGCCAGATTGATGACCATCACTACCTCTGGTGGCAAATTCTGTATCTGCTGTTGAATGTACTGCATGAACCCAGAGCATTTCGTTGTTCAGTGGCTGAACCATGGGTTAACTGTTGGGTTATTTGGTCCTGAAACAACCCAGCATTACAGGGCATACTCAACAACCTATGAACATGCCTGTTCATAGTGTGGTTGCACCTCCTCTTGTGTACAACAACCCACAGTTGTTTACATGCAGACCTGGCCTATGATTGGTGCTTAACAGAGTCTGCAAATGATCATTCCTTCATGCAGTTGCAACAACTATGCAGTAACTTTAAAGCAGATCCTCTGGTGTTCCCAGTAGCTTCTTTCCTTAAAGGGACAGGTATATCCTCTTTTACATTTGGGGAAGGGCAGGGGGATTATGATTTAGTCTTCAGTATTGATTCTTTAGTTCCATTCTTAGCTTCTTGTACGAGATTACATTTCTGAATAGTTGTTCCTCTGCATAATTAAATTCTTTAATGCTATTTAATGCAGCTGATGCATGGCATGTGTTCCTGGAAGACGGCATCCCTCCATGTATTGCTGAAGCACTGAAAGCCATGGGTCATACTGTCATGTTTCCTGTAACTGGGCACGACAGAAGCATATTTGGACGAGGACAAATTATCACCAAAGGAGACTGGTGGAGGCAGACAAAGCTGGCTTCGTCCAGAAATGTCTTCTGGGCTGGCTCTGATCCTCGAGCCGATGGTTGTGCTATGGGATACTAGTGTTAAAGAAAGAACTGCTTGTGCGTGTTAAGGGCTAAATATCAAATCAAAAGAACAAAATGTTAGAAAGAATGGCTCAGACTCAGTCTGATCTATTGCCTTAGCTTGGTGAAATCTCAGGTTCAGTCATAGTTATCTCCAGCTATGACTTTTGAGAACAGCTCAGGTGTTGGCCAGGTTAGAACTGGGTGTGTAGAACCTCAGGGCCAGGGGCCAAATCTGGCTCTCCTGGACTTTTCTAGATGATCATCCAGATGCTAATCTTTTTTGGGTTTCCAGCTTTTGCTTAAATGCTTAGAATGCCTGTCCTAATCATTGGAAGTAATGAAACTTTCAGCTAAATTATGTTGGTATTTTGGCTCCCTCTATGCTTTCAGCCTTATCTACTGGAACATGATTGATTTCTGAAATAAACTTTATGGCATGTTTGGCTAAGATCTATTAGCAAATAAAAAGGCTTTGAAATGAATGGCGCACTATGGATATGAAGATTTTGGTGACAAACAGTTTGCTGTCCTGGTCTAAAGTGTTTGACAGTTACAAAGCTTACCTTCTGAAATGCTTTCTCTACTTCCCATCCAAATCCAAGGAAGGTGCTGTAGTTCTGAGTCGGTGCCTGATGGTGACAGTGGACTGGATGAGGGCCAACAAACTGACCCTTAATACAGACCTTTGCAGAAGGCTAAAATCAGGGTGCATGTTTGATGATAATGTGAATGAGGTTAGAAGTAAACAAATACTTTTAGATCCAACCATAGGAAGTACCCTTTCATCCTATGGGGGATCCTTTTCACCCACAGGAACCCATATCAGAGAACCATGTTAAAAGGTGGGGGAAGAGGCAGGGTGTGCATTTTGCATGGAAGGTAAATTGCAGCAATAACAAATTCAGGACTTTTAGGTGGGAAATGAAATTATATATAATATGCTATGCTTCAGTTAATACATTGTAAAAATAGAAATGTATTTTAACTAGCTAAAGCCAAACCTCAAACATGTGAAGGAATTACATACCAAACTATTTAAAGTTACCCTGTTATATATTCACAAGTAACTGGTAAGGAGAGGTTCTGTAGGTCCCTGGGCTAATGTCTAGTTGCAGTGTGAGCAGGATAATGACCAGTAAGCGAAGCTGAATCCTGGGGAGATGGAGGCACTGTGGATAGGTGGTTTCGGTGTCCAGGAGTCAGGGAAGTGGCCAGATCTGTGTGGAATTACATTCCCTTTGAAGGAGCAGCTGCACAGCTGGGGTGCTCCTAGTTCTGGCACTGTGCGTGGAGGCACATGTGGCCTCTATAGGAAGCTTTGCTTTTTCCCAGTCTTAGTGGGTGGGCCAGCTCCAGATGTTCTGGACAGGGCTTTGTATCCTCTGTGAGTGGGTCTCAATCTAGTACAGCTCTTTCTCTTAACCTCAACTTGTGGCCCTCCAGATGTTTGGGCCTGCAACTCTTGCCACCTGTTAGCTGGTAACAGCTCCTCTTTCTCTCAGTTGCCACCAATATTGTATAAGCTCACAGGTCTGTTAGGCCATTTTTTGTTTTTAAAAATGTATTTTAATGTATAAAGTTTAATCTTTATTTAAGTTATTCTTCACCTTGTAACTCCCTAAGTATGTGGGTGTTTCATTATACTGAAACTCACTGTGTGTGTGTGTGTGTGTGTGTGTGTGTGTGTGATTTCAGTTCCAGCCACTAAGATTCCTGAGTTTACTGTAATATACTCATAGAGGGGATATATAATCCAAATCTAATTGGGTTGAATGTTCTCTTTTTACCATAGAAGCAACTGAATTAGAACTTCTTAATTTTAAAAAACCCCTATCAGATGGGGTTAGAAATATTTTCCATCCAGCTATGCCCAGGAGTACACATGTTTGTGCATGTGGAGATAGAGATTTGTACGCATCCATGTGTAGTGAATGGAGAAAGAAAAATAAAAGTAATTTTCCGAGTAGAGTTGTATTAGAAGTAGCAAGAGAGTCTGCAGAACTGAGGCTCAGATCTTGAGGTTTGGTTCACCTTTGATGAACTCCTAAAATGACCACTGTAAAACAGAGATGGTTGACTATTTTATTTATTTATTTACAATATCCATATACAGTTTCACATCTGGGCTGATTCAGGCCTAATGAAAAGTAAAAAAGGTAAAAAAGATAAAAGAATAACACCAATACAATAAAACAAGGTACCATTAAAAGCATGGTTAGTCAGCAAGAAACAAAGATGTTTCATGGAGCAAAGCTATCTTCAGCAGGCACTGAAAACAACACAGTGTAGGAAACTGCCTGACCTCCAGAGAAAGGGTGTTCTATAGAGATGGGGTCACCATAGCAAAGTATTTCTCCTGGTGGACTTCATTTGGACCATGGGTTAAAGCAGAGCCACCAGGAGAATGTCCTCCAATGACCTCCGTGGCTGGGCAGATTGGTAAAGGAAGAGAATGTGTCTCAAGTATTCTGATCCCATGTTGTTTGGGATTCGAACATCAACAGCAAAACATTAAGCCTAGGCTGGTAGGGAGTAAGCCGCCAGTGTGTTTCCTTCAGAAACGGAGTTGCGTGCTGAAACGAGGCACTCTGGTTTCATATTCTGCCATTAGGTTGGTTATGATATTTCAGATCTTGATTGAATTCCCTTCCCTCCTACTAGAGGGCAGCAAGATCTGCTTACAGGATAATGCAAGGCAATCATGGTACAATAGATTGCCACTACGGATATTTTATCAAAATAAATGCCCCAAATCGCTTAAGGGGCACATGGGCAGCCTTATCCCAAGGTGCTGTATATGTTTCACCGTAAGTGTGTTTACTGCTGAATTAGCATGTGTAGACTCGCACCCTAACAATCCAGTGGATGTAGTATATTCTGCCCTGATCGGCTTCTCTGTAAAAACAATACTAAAGGTGAGTGTGTCTGTTTTATAGGGAGTATTATGCATTATGGGCTTCTCCACACATGATGTAGTAATTTCTGTTCTGTTTCTATTTATGCCTACACTAGAGTAATTCCACTAAAATTCATCCAGTCACTGCCAGCAGCTCAGTTCCTTCATTATCCCATTCTGTTTTATAGGACAAGCAAATGCTTCTTAAGAGACTGGTATTGTGATGGACAATTATGGAATAATGAGTTAATTACTGATTCAACCATATTTAGCTTTTATCCTGTTCACATATTTGCTAGTAGTTTCTCTCTTTGAACTGGGGTGAGCTGCCTATTCACAGGGGACCAATTAGCATAATAAGCTTTGCAGTTGCTTAGCTTTTTGACCTCAATAAGACCTGGCAATCAGTTGCTAGGCTTGGAGGTTAAGGAGAATTTGGCTGCTTTGGATGGAGCATACTGGATGCTGGAGTTGCCAGTAACTAGCAAAGTCCTTCCTGTTGCTGTGCTTAAGCCTCCACTGCTTTCTCATTTACACAATTCAACTGAGAGGATTGCTGTGATCCCTGAAGAGCTTTGATTGTGCTCTAGTTGTCTGTGTCACAGACACCATTTGGGAAGATGTTTTGTGATGTATTTCAAATACTAACTTAAGGTGAATTTACAGTTGACTATCAACACTGCAATGAAACACAAAGCTAATGAAAAATAACCTCTAATAAATCCATCTAACATGAAAACAGCACCCTGCAATCCCTCTTATGCTTTCAGCTCTATTATCCTTAAGACTGGAAACTTGCTCTTATTCTAAAAAATAAATAGTGGGATTTGAGATTCTTAGAATGCTGACATTTGCTTCTGATAGTAATTTTTTGACACTGTATGAAAACAAAATTGTGGACTACAAACAACCTTAACATACTTCTTTAAGATGTGATAGTGGAGAAGTCTGTGTTGTCTTTGCTAGTATGGAGACATTCTTTCTAGTGTCCGTAGCCAATTCCAAAGCCAGCATTTATACTCATATGCATTTATTTAAGACATCAGAGAAGGCTTTTAAAAAAACACATGTTGGCTATTCAAATATTTAGTGCTTATTAGCAGTATAATATGGGATATAAATAAAAATGGGCAAATAATGCACACATGCTAATTTCCACACAAGCAGAGTTGACATGACTTGAAAGCCAAGGTAAATGTGTTTGAGCACTGCAGGAGGGGTTTGTGTGGCAACTCAGATTGTTTGGGCTACTGTTTGGTTACAAGCTACATTACTAACATAATACCAGACTCAGAAGAGTCCACTCTTTAGTTTAGCTGGGCTTGCTGCCAGGATGAAACTGGCAGGGTTGCCCCAGAATTTGTCTTGATGCTAATTTACTTCATCTCCAGCACAAGCCTTGTTTGCTAAGTGAATGCTTCTCATCCTGTATGCCGCAGTAAAACCATGCAAGCTTTGTTTGCAAAAAAGCAAGCAAGAGCAAAAAAGAATTTCATGAACAAGAATGAAGATCATAATGATATGCCTATTTCCCCATCCATTATGCAGGGGCTAGAAATATATCCTTTTGCTGACTTAGTCCCAGGCATCTGTACTATGGCAGACACATTTTATTAATTTATTATGAGTTTTGGGCTGGGGCTTTAGACTTCCATTTTTGTTAGAAGCTCACAACTAATATTCCTCTTCTTCCTGAAATGTTAGAACAACACAACTATTTGTCAAACCTGATGTAAAACATCAGGGCAAGCGCAGTTTTGCATTTTAAGTTCAATTAAATCGAAGCAGTATCATGACTGCTGAAATATAACAGAGCTTGCTTCTGCAGTGCTGATGCCTTCATCCCCTGCTGCTCTCCATGTGAGGACCTGGGTTTAGACTCCCGCATCCATGCCTATCTGTGCCATGGCTATTTTCGTTTTCCAGTGGATCTTTTCTTGCCTCCTGCTCCTATTTTGTACAATTGCAGTCTCGGTCTGTAAACAATTTATGTGAAAGATGAGTGCCCTCTGCTTTCTCAAAAGAATATGATCCGTTTAAACAGATACTTAGGTGTTGGGGGTAAGAGAGACATGGAGATATGTTTATAAAGCATATCTGTGAGGCTGCAATCCACCAGCTTTGAAATACACTGTCTGCTCTTTATGACAACGGAATTGACCTCACAGAAGTATAAAGGGATGTTTCAGAGCGATTAGGACAGCCAGGCTCTCCTGAAGCCATTCCAGCCTCCTTCCTTCCCCTTTCAAAATGCTGTTGCTGGATGGCTGAAAAGGGACAGCCAGCAAAAATGCAGAGTTAGAGGAACGGGGATATCAAGCTTGCCTGTGCTGCTCCTCCTGCTCCAAACTGAGTGAACATGATCTCCAAGTTCAGAGGTATCACTAATCTTCATAGGATTATGCCCTTATATCCCAATATCCACTTGCTGAAAATTAGAACAACTGAATTAGTGTAATTTACTACATTAAGGGGGCAATCCTATGCATGCATAGAAGAAAAAAGTCTTCCAGCATGTGTAACCTTGCAGCGTTCCCCAGCCACCATAGCTCATATTTTGCAGTCATAGGATGTGCATGTGCTTGTTTGTGGAATTTAGGATTAATTAGTTTATGTAGAATAAATGTTTTTAAGTCTCAAAAAACATCTAAAGAAGAGGTTTTCCTTGTATTCCTAAATTCTGCCTTAAAACACCAACAGATCTTATTTTCAGTTTTTACAACAATTAAGGTTTTCACTTCATTTTATTAAATAAAAATTGCAGTTTGCAAATTTGCAGTTTGCATGCCAGAGTGTGCTCAGGATGCATGACAAGGAGACACTGTGCTGGCACAGTCTATTCTTCTTTGATCACTCTCTCTACAAGTGGGAGAGACTACCAATTCTGAGCCAGGCCATCCTTGTACTGGTGTATATAAATTAGGTTGTTGGTGGAAAGAAAATCTTGAGTGGAAGTCCAGAATTCAACCCTGGGTTCCAACTCTGGTCTGTTGGGAGAGAGACAACCCAATTTCCCAATTTGTGCACAACACTAAATTACCCAGGGATGCTCTGTTCAACAACCCTCTGGCCCTTAGCCCTTTAAATTTGTAACAGAAGAAATCAGGTTGCAGGAACAAGTATAGTCACTAATTCTCACTCTGGTCCCTGTATATCTATCTCATGAAATGTGGAAGCAGACTTAGCTCCCAACCACACTCAAATGCATGCACACACACAGAGTTCCATTCTCAAAGATATGATATGAAAAGTTCTGGTACACATAAAAAGGCTATCGGTCCAACAACTGTGAGGGATTGCCTTGATTTTTTAAAAAAAAGATGATCAGTGACAAAGACTATGCTGAAATTACTGCTGCTTCTGCCTTTGTAAGTAGCAAATATCTACCTAAAATGTGCAGCTGCTCACTTGGTTGATGGTTTTTAAGATCACTTGTCATTGCTCTGTTTTATATTACTTTGCTTTTCATAAGCAGCACCTTGTTATGACTGAGGCCCTGCTCAGATAAAACCAGTTCTGAAGCTGAGATGTCACTAAAATATTATACTGAAAGAGGATATTTCTGAAGGGACCCATGAAGGAAGTTCTCACCAGTTACACATTCAGCTAGATAGGATGTCAACTTCCCCTCTGTAGAGGAAACCTGGGGATTATGTTTACATTTGACTTAAATCCATCAAAGCCAAGATACTGACACTTAAACATGCTGCTTGATCTGATAACACTGGGAGGATATTGTCAAGTTCAAGAGGAAATGGACAAGGGCAACTTCTACAGTACTTGGGAGGAGCTTCCACCATTGTTCCCCAGTGTTCTTGTTTTTGGTGAACAGCTAAGACCTACGCAGCCTACTTCAGAATAATCCCTTTCAAAAGTAGGTTGCAGTTCTGTGGTCACTTAGGGAGTAGGACAATTGTACACACTGGTCCTTGCATTTGAGTAAACATAGTATCCGTCTGAAGATAAATAAGGCAAGCCAGCTGGTGTATAATAATGATTCATACTAACTGAGAGGATATATCTTCACACATTGAGAGGATATATCTTTCCTATAATGACTTAGGCTGCTCATCTAGCCCTGCATTGACTCTCTGGCTGCAAAGTCTTCACAATTTTTTTCAGGCACTAATCTTTTCAGTCCTGGTATAAAACCTCCTCTTAAAATGCAAACAGCAGGGATTTAACCTGGTTTCTTCTACATGCAGGACATGTATGTTGCCCCTGAGTCATAAGCTGTGGACTTCAGAGGCTTCTATTCCATTGTAGTCTAGTGCTAGAGTGATTATCTCACTTTTCAGAAATCAAAGTCTTCCAAGGCATCTAACAAATAACATCTCACATATATCAATAAAATAGCAGTTAACAATCTTAAGATATAAGAGGCATCAGAAACTTTCCAAAATGGCAGCTGGAGAGGGTATGGCTCTTTGTGGTAAGGAGAGCCTAGTTAGAAGAGGAACAGGACCTAGGGTTATTTTCACCTGCTGCCCTCACTCTGTTGGATTCCTTTCCACAGGCAGGCTGTGGTGGATGGCCTGGGTGGATGCATGTGAACGGAGAGAAAATTCAGGAAGAATGGCACCTGGGTGGTCAAGTATCCTCCTTTACATAGGATAGTCTTCTGTTTTGGAGGGATGGTAGGGAACAATCTTCTGTTTGAAGGTGTCCTTGATTTGATGGACTGTCCAGTTCAGGTCAAGGAGTCATGGGAAGGAGGCCTGTAGTAGCCCATCAGCAGTTAGCACTTGGACAACAGCAGACTGAGCAGATACACCTAGTCACCTAGTCAAACCTTCCCAATATGATCATAGAATCATAGAATAGTAGAGTTGGAAGGGGCCAAGAAGGCCATTGGGTCCAACCTCCTGCTGTTGCAGGACACCAAGTTACACCATCCCACTCAGATGGCTGTCCAGTTTCTTTCTGAATGTCTCTAGAGATGATAACTTATATTTCTACTTAAATAATATTTTTTCTAAATGTACATGTATGCATGTGTTTATACTTGCAAATGTTATGCACATTGGCAATTTCCTTTGTAGTGATGTAATTCTTCTATTTTGGCTGTCCCTGATGTCCTCCTCACCTCTCTCCCTTTTTCCAGGAGTCTTTCCCACAGGTCAACTGACAGTAGGTGGTCCTGGATGGGAAGAAGAAGTCCAGCTGGACATATTGTCTTCCTTTCTGTCTTCCCACTCATCATATCCATGTCTTGGACTTGGACTATGGGAAAAACAGGTTCAGAATTATCATCTGCCACCAGAGCAGGTAAAAACACTGGGCAAGACCAGAGTTCAAATTCCAAATCAGTCAACAAAACTTACTGGCTGTGACTTTGGGTCCATACATCCTCTTAGCCTGAGCTACCTCATCAGGCTAATTGTGAAAACAAAAAATAAAGGGGACTATGTATAGCTTCCTAATGGAGTTCCTTTCCTTGGAGGAAGGTTAGGATAATAAACATCATGTTTCAAATTTAGTTACAATCCCAAAAGCCCAGTCCAGACTTGAAAGATCCTATTTTTTCCAAGTGCTCTTGGTCACATTCAACATATACATAGCAGGGCATGACTCACTCTAAATCTTGCCTTTGCTAACCCACTATACTCCAGAAAAGATGGACTATAACTCCCATCATCCACAGCTTATGTGATCATGGAAGTTGTATTTCAACATATCAAGAGAGTGCCACGTCGGTGAAATCTATTCTAGAGTAAAGCCTTGCTGAGTTTTTAAAGTAATGGCTTAGTTTGCATGTAATGACTAGCTATGGGTTAAGCGATGGTTTACTCCCAGGTTGTTAAAGAAACTGGATACAAAGTGGACATGGTGTGGGCATGCTCATTTGCTCTTATACAGCCATATCTATCACTGGGTAAAAAAGAGATTAAACCTCTGCTTTGCATCCAGTTTTGTTACCATCCCAGGAGCCCAGAATGTCTGAACTCTGGCTGGTTTGAACCCATGGTTCATTGGGCTAAAGTTCTCAGTTGCTTGTTCCTCAACAAATTGAGTTTGGATTCAGTTGTTGTATCAAACGACCTAGGAATGTTTGGGTCATTGCGGAAACTGGATGCAAAATGGAAGCAATGAGAATGTGATAAACAACACATTTGTTCGCTCTCACATGCATATGATGATTCATGAGTTAAACACTATGAACTGTCATTATGTGTGAACCAGGTCAATGCCTGTTTTAGCCCCTAGTCAGTCACCGGAGCGCATGACCACCACAGCCCACCACTGCTGTTTTGACTAGTTTGTGCTTGGCAGGGCATGGTCAAGGTTGGCTATGCCATCTAAAGCTGCTATTAAAGATCCTGCAAATAAAACAAAACTTTCCTCTGATTTCCCTAACAAAAGATTTGCATGGCAGCTTGCCACTGACTATCAAGCAACATCCATAGTCATTCTGGCTTTATTAACCTTTCCCACCCCCCAAACAATACAACTGATTATTAGATGCCGTGGAGAAACAACAGCAGATGGGACTCTTCAGTAAGTCTTGTGAGTTCCCTGGCAGAATATTAAGAATTCTGCATGACACAGGGGGCTTCCAGATGTGTCATCGTAGGATTTCATGGCAAGAAAATGCCTTTTAATTGGCTGTCCAAAGAATTCCCCATCTGTAAGCACTCACATTGCTTCTTTGGTTTCATCCAGCAAGGCAACCTGATGTCCTTATGTCAACTCTTTATGTGATGCTATGGAAATTACAGAGTGGCTCCTCCAAGGGAAGTTCAGAGGACAGCAACAATGGAGAGGGCCTTTCAGTGGGGCAACCCCAGTGAGGCCAACTGGGTGCAAACATTGTCATTTTTCTGGTGGCAGGTCAAGATTTCTACTCCCAGGCATTTGAAAGCATATGTTGGACTTTTTACACATTAGTTATTTTGCGTATGGTCTGTACTGGTGTTTTTGTTGTTTTATATGTTTTTGGTATCTTTAATATAATTTTAAAACTATTTTATATTTGGTTGTAAAATTATATTAAAGATAATATATATTTTTTGTTGTAGGTCACCTTGGGTCTTTTTAAAGAGGAAAACTGTTTAGATGGAAAGAGGCCATCCATGCTGGGCACTGGGTATTGTGCTTTCTTTCTCTAAACATGCATAGAATTGCACCTTAAGAAACAACAAGAAGAAGAAGAGATAAACCAATGTGAAATCAATGGAGCTTTGTAAATGTGATCAGGATTTGACCTAAAATTATTTAACAGAATTGTACTTATTAAGGGTACAATCCTATGCCTGTTCAGACAGAAAAAAAGTCCTACCATAGCTAGCATTTCCCAGCCTGGCATGCTTAGGATTGCATTTTAAATATCTCTTTCGAGAGGTGTTTGACTGACTGAGTCTTTTCTGTTGTTTTATATTTTTATCTGGTTTACTTCATGGCATTTTACTGGGCTATATGATTCTAGGCTTTTGAAAATGTTGTAAACCCCACTGAACCATTTGGAAAAGAAGTATAAGCAAATTTATATAAGCAATCTCCTATTGTGTCAGGCTGAGGCATTGCATTTTGTTTATTCCCCTGTATTTCTCTCATCCCCTTCCAGATTAAAAAAGTCTTTCATGTTTAGAAACCTGTTATTCATGTGTGACTGCATATGCTATTATTCATTCTATAAGAAAAAATTCAGGCCAAGTGGAGCGCTGTAGCAATTTGTCTACTGTTTGATTGCAAATGGGCAATGACACTGTTACTACCTTCTGGTGTTGCATTCAGCAATTCAGACTGACATTAATGTGGATATGAAATCATCACCAGGGAACTAGGTAAGCCGGAGTATTTAAGAAGGAATGAGCATGGTTCACTCTCCCCTTTTTGTTTCTGGAACAGGTATATGCCAGACGGTCTTTGGCATAACCACACTCTGAGAGTCCATCTATAAAACTGCAAGCAACATGTGCTATGGGAGGTGTGCTAAATCCATTGGGTACACGCTTCTCGTTCTTTCCGTGCTCTGCATTGTGGCAAACGTTCTGCTCTATTTTCCCAATGGTGAATCAAGATATGCTTCACACTACCCTCTCGGCAATTATGTGGGCTGTCTTCATGGCATTATAGGAGGAGGTCTTTTGGTGAGTAAAAAATTATTTTATTTTATTTCCCCCCCTTTCAGACAATGGACGTCCTTAAGGATCTTCCAAACTGCCTTCTTGGACTGGGCTTCATGGCTGTCTGTTCAAAACGGAGCACAATGCCCACCACCTTTCAGCATCTTTTCTGAAAACCAGACTGATGTTCCCTACCTTTAATCAAGCATCCTGGTCAGCTTCTAGGATGCAGCAAGCCACTGAGATGTCTGCTGAAGTATTATGCTTTGGAGTCATGCAGCTGGGACCTACAGGGTATCCCTACCACCTGAGGGGAGCTCTTTTGATCAAGGGCAGGAGACTTGCAGTGCTGGTGAGGTCTTTGGAGTGGGAAGTTGGTGTTTCAAGAAAGGGAGAAGGGGGAAAGGGCATTTTTAGACCAGTCCCAAAACCTTCCTCTGTAGTGCTGTACAGTGCTAGAGGGCCACCAGCCTCAAACTTGAATATGTAATACCAAAAGTTTTTGGCAATTTGTATGAAAACAGCAAACATTATAAAGGTGACCCAGACAGGAAAACTTTGCAAAACTTTGCAAACTTTAGAAAGCTAGGAATTTCGTAATGAATAAAAAATGGTTGAAGGGCATGTTCCCATGCCCCCTAGACTTTGTCTGTGGTGGAGCTCTAGAGTCATTTGGATTCTCTGACTGCAGCAATGAGGATGGGAAAGTCTTATATTAAGCAGCTCTCTGAGGTCAGGAAGGGGACCTTGGAGAGGAGCTAAAAGGGGCAGGTTGGGGAGGAGCTTGTAGTGGGAAGGTCTTCCGGACAGTTAGGACCCCTAGAGTATGGAATGGGAGGAGGTTGAAGCCCCATCGCTGAGGGTGTTCAAGGATAGGCTGGACATGCACATGGTAGGCATGTCATGAGCGGAGCCGGCTGGAGCCGGGGCTCAGACTAGATGGCTTGCTCTGTTTTTCTTTTTTCTCCTGTGTTCTTCTAGTCAGGATATGAGCATTGCTGAAGCTGTTCCAGCCTCCTTCCTTTCCCTGTTGAAGTACCTGAACTAGATGGCTGAAAACAGCCACCTTGCAAGAATATAGTGGGAGGAGTGGGGAGGGAAAGATCATTCTTCCTCCTGTTCTGTCATCTTCCAAGTTTGGGAGCTGATGAGCATCTTGACTGGATTGTGTCCCTTTTTATTCTCTTTGGCATGAAAGGCATAGGGTCAGGAGGAGTCAGTCATGGATGGATGATGGATATGAAGCATATAAGTTGCAGAAGCAGAAGGGCGAACATCCCGCATTTTTCAGGCAAGCACCCAAAGCTACTTCCTCCTAGCTCCCACAGTCTCCACAAAGGCATTTTTAAGGAGCATTTCTCCCTGCTCCTGGGAGAAAGAAACAGCAAAAAGCACTGCACAGTAGGACAGTTCTACAGTATGGCATTCCTGCTCCAAACTCCTGGGATAGGAGAGCCCTCATAAAACATAGAAACAGAGCGAGTCAGAAGCAGTCTCCTGGGCCATCTAGTCTGACCCCCGGCTCTAGCTGGCTCCACTCACGACATGCCCACCATGTGGACGTCCAGCCTATCCTTGAACACCCACACCGATGGGGCCTCAACCACCTCCCGGGGAAGCCCATTCCACACCCTCGGGGTCCTGAC